ATCTATCCCACACCTTTGGAGCTTGCCCAGGAGGATGCTGTGAGGAATGGTGTCAAAAGCCTTGCTCAAGTCCAGATAGACCACATTCACCACTCTGTCCTCATCTATCCAGCTAGTCACTCCTTCATAGAGGGCGATCAGAGTAATTGCTCTGCAGAGCAAAACTATGGAAATTAAGATGGGAAAATAAGTCAGTATAGCTGCAGTGTGATTTGTGGAAAAATAAAGGATTTTCTCCCCTTTTCAGAAGAGGAAAATCAGCCACGGAGCATTCCCAGTTTACCTAGGGGGTGTTGACAGCAGATTAATGAAGTGTTTTAGCTTTCTGTATTTCTTTGAAGCATTGATCAGGCTACGCATGCCATAACTATGCCTTGATTCAAGATGCAGGTCCTCACACGTGCCTTTAGGTGTGCACTCAAACACAGCTAAATGTGTGATTAAAAAACAGAACACTGAGCCTGTCCCCTGCATGAACTAAATTGAGGCTTTAATGAATGAGTAAAATGCACAGAGACTGTGTATATGTTTTTTTTTCCTACATCTCAATACTCAAGCAATAGATGCCCTATTTAGAAATTACAACTTCTTTCCATGTGCAGTAGGAGGGTTATGAAAAGCATCTTCTCTGGCATATAAATGTTTTAAGACCTGCTGCGCATTATAGATGATGTAGTTCACTAACAGATCAGTTAGTCTGACAACTTCCACTTCCTTCTGTAAGTCAGTAATACAGTATTTGAAATTATACCATTTAATGTCCTTTGTTCCTGTGTTCCCAAATAAGGATTCTGAAAGATGCTTATTTTTTGACACAACCAGAGATGCATTCCCGTCGTCTTTAGGAAGTGTGCAAGAAGAACTGTATCAGCATCATAGTTAGCCTGGGCTCTCTGGATTCATCTCGTGGGTTACTCCTGCCTCTGGGCAGGAAAGCTGCAAGCTACTGACGCTGCCTTCTCTGCAGGGCCTCCAGACACGCAGGAACGACGTTCCCATAGTTTTTTTTTCTCTCCTGCACCCCGATATGCTCAAGTTATCCTCATCCCAGTCTGTTGCTACTCAGCTTTTTGCTTAAGTGCTGACTAGTGTTCAACTTTACAAAATTAGCCTCTTTGGAAAAGAAAACTAGAAATAGCACAGTCCTTTATTAGTGTTGCTGCAAAAGATGGTAATTCTGGTTTTCCTTCAGTGCAGCACACTAAAATGATGGGACATGTCTAGATGAAGCTAATAAGCTTTACCAGTTTGCTTGACTTGAAAATAAATGCCCTAAGGAAACTGATATCCGTGAGACATGGTGCTCTTTCTAGCTCAAATTTCAGTTTCAAGCACTACTTTCTGTGATAATGAAACAGGCCTTGTATTTTGCTTGTTTTTAATAATAATAAGTCCTTTAGGAAAAAAGGGACGTTCTTAAATAAAAGATGAATTGTAAAAGTAGTTCTTGAAACAGTTCATGAGTTATATTTATGGACTCTAAAAACTTACAAAAGAAATCAGAACAAGTGTAATTGTGTATTTCTAACTTCAGTGTCTTGTTAGATACTTAAATTTTCACTTTTTGTATTTTTAAACAATTCTGAATTTATGTTACTCGCTAATTCAGTAAAAATGAATTCTCATCCTTATTTTTCCAGGAATTGGCAAGTTGTGGGTGGAACAAAAAAGAGAAATACAGTTCTGCACCAAATGCAGTTGCTTTCACCAGAAGATTTAATCATGTGAGTTTCCTTTTTCAGTGTCATTACTGGCATGTGTTTTAAAAAAAAAAAAAAAAACCTAGGTTAAAAGAAAAGAAGAGGAAAAAGGAAAAAAGAAAAGAAAAGAAAAGAAAAGAAAAGAAAATTAAAAAAAAAAAAAAAAAAGAAAAGAAAAAGAAAAATTGAATGGAGTGTTCTAGCATATCACTTTTATTGTTTACAGCTGAGTACTTTAGATGTCTGCTTAAAGTTCTTCCTTATACAGAAAGATTGCTTTACACCAGGCCAGTACTGAAGAAATAGCTGCGTCTTTGTTGTGCCTTGTTTCAGTTAGGATTTTTTCTTACTGACCAATAAAATACTAAGTGTCTTACCTGTGGATGTCATCTGTCCCTTTCTCAGTGACCAATTTGTCATTTCAAGTTAAAGGTTTAATGTATAGAAGGATGCTTTGACTCATAATTGGATATAATGTCATTTTATGGTGCAGTTAAGTGATTTTTTCCCAGAGAAGTTTTATGTCTTTAGAGCTTTGAACCCTTTGTAAGTGTGGATTATTCTTTTTAAGATAATTCCGGGCCAACTTAGTTCTCAACAATTTGATTTTACAAAACTTGCCCTTTAAATTGTTTGTTTGCCACAATTTAGTCAAAGCTTTCTCTGTACCAAATGAACTTGCAAGATAAGAATTTTTGCATTTTCCATAATTAAATGAATAAGTCTGTAGGTAGCCAACGGTCTCAAAAATGTAGTGCTTCTCCATGCCATATTTTATGCTTCAGAGGAAGTGCCTCTCTCCTTTTGTAAATGTTTAATGTCTCAAACATATGAGTTCTATTCCAGACCTGTTTTCTGTGCCCAGTCTTGCTTTTAGGCATCTTTGTTAATGAGGGCCAAGCCAAGCTTTTCACTGTTCTTTTTCTTTTTTTCCTACCACTGTTTAAAAAAATAAAAAAAAATCTTTTACAGTCATTCCTCATCTTCAGAGTGTGACCAAATTCCACGGCTGTCATCCATAACACTATTTTCATGGCTGTCATCCGTAACACTGTTTGCTATGTTTCTTAACCATCTAATGACTGAATTGCTTTTTATCTGCAAGTGTTTTGCTCTCTTGACTAAAGGCAAAAAAGTTACACCCCAAAAACTACACCTGACGATAACACCATCTGTTGAAATCCGCTTATAGCTTTAATGTTCCCCATCTAGCTTCTGAAGTTGTCTGTTGGACTGTCTACACGGCCCATGTTTCCTCCTTTACTACTCTTAATTCCACCATTACATCAATGATTCCAGCCTTTGCTTTGTTTTTTGCATTTGTTGCGTTGACAGAGAATCGTTTGGGGTTTTGCTGCAGGGGGCAGCAGGCTCTGACTCACTTTGGTAGTAAGGCACGTGTGCTAGTAACGTACCCCTCAAATACCTCATTTTTATTTGTTGTTTTATAGTAGCAACTGCAGGCATTGGCCAAACAGAAATTGGACTTCAGACAATATTAAATTGGAGAGCTGGCGAGATGACCTTTTGTCATTGCAAACCAGAGTTTAGACATTTCTGACTTGGAAATCTGCGGTAGAGGGAGGAAATGCCTGCGTTGTGCTGGCCAGGACCGGCAAAAGATGCACAGTTAAAAGCAATTGATATTGATAGTATTGGTAATGATTTCTAGATGATAAATCTATTGCTGAATAACGTTCAGGAACTATTAAGTACAGTATTATTAGACTAACATAGAACTATTACATCTGCTTACAAAATTCTTTCATCTTAGTCATCTTATGTCTCCCATTCTTAGGCATCTTCCTGATTTCTTCTTGTTGAGACCAAATGAGATAGTAGATTTTCCTTCAAAGCAAGCAAACAGAAGGCTTTTATTTAGATTGGCCAAGTGTTCAGAAGCAGTGCAAGAAAGTCGAGAACTCACGTGGGGTTGGCAAGAGCAGCTGAGAATGAGTGTGGTGGAGCAGACAGTTGCTGTCACCTTCTCTCTGGGTCCAGTCACCTGGAGCTAAGGTCCTGTCTACCCCAGGTGCTCCTCCAGTAGGCTCCAGTTCCTACCAGGCACTCCTACCTGTACTCTCCTGAGAAGCACTAATGTTTAGAAGTAAACTAAGGGGTCGGAAAAAATCTCTGTGGCTTTTGGCTTAATCTGGAATGAATCTGGAAGTTCATTAAGCTTTCATTAACCTTTGAAATTTCCCTGGGTTTAAATAATGCATTCTGCATCTGTCTGTCCTCCTTCCCTCAGCTTGCCAGAGGAAACCCACGTGTATCTTAAGTGAAGAGAGTGTCAAATCGCTAGCAGCTGCTTCTCAGTGAGTGCATCTGCTGATAGCGTTTTGGCAGCAGCAATGATGATGCACTGGACTGTGTCCAGCATTAGCTGTCTGATAATTACAGATGGTGCCTGTGCAAACACGTCGGGCTTGGGAAGAGGAGAAAGCACTGACGCATTACATACCAGACTTCTTTAAGGTTTAAAGCATATATTGGTGCAAGATAGTCTGTAGATCTACACATCGACTATTAAATATCTTGTTTAAATAGATAACCTTTCTGCATAACTTTTGAAAATTTTAGTTTCTGCATTTTTGAATTTTTTCCATCAGAAAAAGAGTGCTGTTGTAACTGGTGGGTCTGGCTGAGTGGATAGCTGTCATATTTGCTTGCTTCCCACATTGCTGTTCCCTCTTTTAGAGAGATCATATAGTATTGATTTCAATTTAAGAAAAGCATATCATTTTCTGCAGTTTACTGTTAGACACACTGTTTTGCCAGTTGACAGGGGCCAGCGGAAATAACCAGCCACCAAGGGAAAGAACGGTTGTGTTTGCTATTAATATCAAATAATACAGAAATGAAATGATACATTTAATGAAACAATAAACTTACTGTGTGTTGTAACTGCGGATGAAATAAGCAAGGTAATGCACTTAACCATTACTATACAAGAGAGAGAACAGTGATTAAGAAAAAGGATACATCACCAGTTGCCTTAATACGTTACCATCATCCAGACTCTCAGTCGCGGGGGAGCCCCTGTTGCAGGAGGATTTGGAGCCTTCCCGGCCATTGGGAGGTCCTATGTGGTGTGTCCACCTGGGAGTGAGGTCTCCACAGTCGCTGTAGGAGGGTCCAGCTTTATAAAACCAAATCAGCAAAACTGGCATTTTCTTTGCTAGCAGTAATATCTGGTGGGTGCTACTTTCCTTATCATCCGGCACTGGGACCTGGCCAGAGCCCCTGCTTTGGATGGCAAAGTTCCCTTCAAAATCAGAACCATTTGCCTGAGAGTCTACAAAAGTTACAGTTTAATGAGCCTACGAGCAGGTTGGCAGAAGCAATTTACGGGCTGGTTCTATGTGCTTCTGAAAAAGCAGAGCCGTATTCAGCTGAAAGTCAACCCTGACTTGGGCCTGTGGTTCAGGCGGTTCAGGCCCTAGCAGTTCAGACACTGATCTGAGGACTAGTTCAGAATCCACGTAAAGTTAATCTTAGAAGCAAATTAGTGGAAGTTACCTGTGGTAAAAGTCCCTTTCCTGAGCTTCCGATTTTAAGTGTTACGCTGTTGCAGAGCTAAAAATGAGAGGAAACTTTAGGTTCATCAGGTTGAAACATCAGAATGGTCCCACAAAATTTCACTCTTAAAAAGAAATGTTGTGGTTTTTTTCTGTGTTTTTTTTTTCCTGTGCCTCGGCGCGGTGCCGCTGCAGAGCCCACCAGCTGCTTGTAATGGGTCCTGGGCAGAGGTGCCAAAATCCTGGCAAGGAGGCGGGCTCTTGAATTCAGGACGCTGCCAGCTGAAAAAGAAAGGTTGTTGAGCTTGTGAACCAGTGGTTATGAACTTAAAAGCACCAGTACTGATTTAAAAGTACGAGCACTGATTTGATCAGATCAGGCAAACATTGAAAAATAAAAGTTTAAGCAGTGATTCAAGGAAAGATATGTGCAAAGAAGTAAACAAGCTTTTATATGCCGAGATTAACAAGGAGACCTTAAATAGACGAATATTTGCAAAAGTATTTTTTAACCTCTTTCTTGGACTGTTACTAAAGGCGTTAACGCCCGAGTACTGTGGGTCAGCTAACTGCAGTGAGAGGGCAGAGCGAGACATGATGCCACTGAAGTACGGTGAGAGGACTGTGACAGGGACCGGTATTTTATAGGAATGCTGTCTGCAAAAAAGCTGTCACCCTGACAAGTATCAAAACCAGTTATCTAGAGCTCTCTGGCTTCTTTATTTGCCCTTTTCTTAAGCCTTAAAATAAAAAAGAAGGGGAAACAGCTCTTTCTTAATACTTCACTGACTGGTGGAACTAAAGACCCACAGAAAGCAGGTGCTACATAGTGTGTTTCAATTTGCAGGACCATCGTTATAGTTTTCCATTGACTTCAGTAAGAAATGAAATTCAAGTTAGAAATGTTATCGGAATTCTTTCAAAATAGAGCTTGTAAAAACATCAGTGCGGTTATGAAGTGCAGCAACTCTCCTTCGTAGTGAGTATAACTAATTCTTGCACAGCCTTGGAGTTAGTCCAGTGCAGTTAACAAATGAGAATATGAAGCATGAATTTGAAGGCAGATTTTTAATAATTATAGGTAGTTGCACTCTGGGAGTTGGATATAAGGATAGCTGGTAATTTCTAAAGCAGGTGATGCCAACTGTACTGAGGCTGCTGCTGTCCCAGTGCATACAGAGAGCCGAAGGGTTAAACAGGGCCAAGCGGTTTGGCCTTTTGCTGGCTGGGCGCAAGAGGGAAACCACCGACAACAGCAACACCCTCATGCTACTCAAGATCACTATTAAAAATAGCACGATAGAAAACGAGATTGCAGAACACTTGCGTAGGCTTTGTGGATGATCTGGCCCCGGTTTTCAGCGTAGGTACGTGAAGGCTGAGTGTAGTGAAGGGTATTGGGGAGCCCGGAGCAGGAGCTCCGGGCCGCTGTGACCCCTGCTCCTGCCTGGCCGGCTGCCCTTTTCCCCACCCAACATGAAGCCTCCGCCCTGGCCCCGTTCCTGCTGTTCCCACCCGCGTTCCCACCCGCTGCTTTCTCTGCTTTCCCTGTGGGAAGCAAGTCCGGGTGAAAGTGCTGGGAATTGGGAGTCCTGGCTGTGTGGCGTGTGACCTGCAGGGCCCCGGGTGTCCATCCAGGTGCTATTATGCTTGGAGAGGTGTAGAACTGGGAGAGGTGTATGGGAAGGAAGGGTTTCTCCAGGCAAATTGGAGAAATGGTTTGAAACACTTGAGGAAAATTGAAGACTAATGAATATTATGGCTAGGCAGGAGTACGCTGTGCACATGCAGGATGGGAGCTACATGCATGGGCTGCTGCAGACGTAGATCAGAGGCTCTTGGTTTTGTCGTGGATTAGAGTCTAGCAGTAGAGTAACGTGCTGTGCTGCTCTGGAAAAACGCTGAAGTTCTGAGTCAGTAGCAGCACATTTATTTAGAATAAACAAACAAACTTAGGTGGTCTTTGAGTCCTACTCGGTAGCTCTGTACTTACAGCGGGGGGGAAAAAAAATGCTGTCTGCTCTTAGACTCTTAGACATTATAGTACAAAGGATACTGTGCAACTGGGGAGAACCAGAGGAGGAGAATGAGAATGAAAAGCATGATTTTTTTTTTAATTTTATTTTTTGAAAAGTTGAAAATTGCTCATCTTTAAAGAGAGAATGTTGGTGTCATCTTAAGCTTTTGAGTGAAAGAAAAGGTAATTGCAAATAAAAGAGGAATCACCTGTGTTTTTATCAATGGTGAATAAAGTGAATAGTAGCATATATTAATGAAAATAATATATTGGACTTGGATCACCAAAAGAAAGAGCTAGATAGGGTGTTCTAAGTTTCTACTGATTTTTTTAAAAAAGAGTGGAGGTTATGTACAGAGGTTAAAGTGTGTATTTTATTTTATTTTATTTTATTTTATTTTATTTTATTTTATTTTATTTTATTTTATTTTATTTTATTTTATTTTATTTTATTTTATTTTATTTNTATTTTATTTTATTTTATTTTATTTTATTTTATTTTATTTTATTTTATTTTATTTTATTTTATTTTATTTTATTTTATTTTATTTTATTTTCCAGATGTTAGGACAGTCCAGATAAAATACTGTGAGGATTGGTACTTGTGAAACAAGAATGACCTTTTATGTATTAAAAGCTTAATATCACATTTGTGCAAAGATCTTCACTAACACAACATGAAAAAACAACTTTCAAATACTGAAGTGAGGAAATTTAGAAGTTGATCTTAGAAGCTACAAGTTCAAGTTTGTTTTTTTTTTCCTCAAAAATCTTATCTTAAAGACTTACTTATCTAATCTTATCTTAAAGACCTACCATCTCAGTTGTATTGGTTGGAGCTTTCATAGCATAAGGTCTTCCATATTTATTCATTCTTTATATGTGGAAACTGAATGTCATGTAAGTTTTCAAGTCGTTCCTGATATTATATATATATATATATAATATATATTAAATATATCAAAAATTATAAACTTTATTCTTTTTAGGTAAGCTTCTGGGTTGTTAGAGAGATTCTCCATGCACAAACTTTAAAAATAAGAGCTGAAGTTTTGAGCCACTACATTAAAACAGCTAAGGTAAGGATTTTTGTGTGTGTGTGTGTGGATTCCCCATGGTGACAACAATTGTACTTCTTTGATAGGTTCAAAACTATGCATAGCTACATGTTTGTCTGACACTTGGTTCAGTTGCGCTCGTGTCTGTTGAGATGAATAGGTGCTTGACTTATCTATGTAACAAAAGTATGGTGACAAATGAAAATCCTCAAATACAAGCATCAAAGAAATGCCTTCTTAAGGAAATGATGCTTCCCTTCCAGTGCCCATTACTAGGGATGCAAGTTGCACAGTGTGGCCCTTCAAACACAGACTTGCTTGTTGTGTTGCAAAGAGGGGTTGTTTTTCCCTAGGCTTTTGCTGTGCCGGGATGGCTAGTGTATCGCCATTCTGCACCTCACAATAGTGCGTACTCGTTAAAAGTAGTTCATAGTGTGCTGCTTGTTGCCTTAACGGCTGTGAAAAACTGCTCTTGTGCTTTTTATGCTACGAAGGTTGATGCCCAGTTAGAGAAGCGGATTAGGGGAGAGAAGCGGCCTGGGGGAGCTGCAGCAGGTCCGGTGCCCCCGCAGCTCCGGGCCTCTGGGGCCGCAGCCGCGCGCCCGCTCCGAGCGAGCCCGTCAGCGAGGGCCTCCTGCAGGGCTCCTCGTGCGGGTTCCTGCTCCGGTGCGTGGCAAGAAGCGTGTGGTCTGCCCCCAAAGCAGCAGGGAGAAAAATACCCCGGCACTGTCCCTTTGGATCTCTCAAAAATGAGATCTCCCTTAACATTTAGCAACTGCTCAGGGTCAAAATAAATTAGTTGTATTTTTGTCCTCTGTGAAAGGCCTTGTAACCACAAACGCTTGGGCAAGGTGGGTTTCAAGGGAGAGAAAGTCCATTACTTTTTTGTCCACAGTGTTCTGAAGTCAGATTTCTTTGCTTTTGTTTCATGTTTCTGTCCGTAATCCTAATTTACCTCGCTGAATTTTCTGAGAGAGTCAAACAGGCCTTGCAGTACTAGGGTTGAATATCCATTTGTGTTTAGTACTGATTTCATTAGTGGGGAAACCTCACTTTATCTGCTCCACCAAAAACCTCTGCATATAGCTGTTTCCTCTGGATGCTCAAAACCATCAGGGTGACTGATGATGCCCGGGAGCTGAAGGAGCAGCGTTTTCTCCTAAAGTGTTTAGAAGCTTTTCATGCCAATAGTACTAATGATTAATTGGCCAAGGCACAGGGGCTGCTGAGTACAGAGGGAAAAGAAAAGAAGGAGCCAAGTTCTCTATCCGAAGGGGAGTGCATCTCATCAGTGCTCATGGATTTAAGAAAATTACTTCTCTTATTGTGATGCTTGGTGCATTTGATCTGTGTTAAGTTTTTTTCCCCTCTAGTTGTTACTGTTGTCAGACAGTTTTCCAGTGGGAAAAGTAACTCCAGTTGCAGGTTTTTCAAATTACTCATTTGATTTCCTCCTGCAACAGTTATTTGGGGGGGGGGGGGGGGGGGGGGGGGGGGGGGGGGGGGGGCTTTGATGCAGTATCAATGCTTTGGTGCTGAACATGTTTCATTAACATTAAGCACAACTGGATTATCCTTTTTATCGTGTTGCATTTGAAAATATATTTATTCGTCCACAGAAACTGTACGAGCTGAATAACCTGCATGCTCTTATGGCAGTTGTGTCCGGCCTACAGAGTGCTCCAATCTTCAGGCTGACTAAAACGTGGGCGGTAAGTAAGCAACAGGACAATTCAGGGATTTTAATTTATTCTTTTAAAAAAACCCCAAAACTCTAGCTTGTTTTCAAGGATGCAGCGATTGTTAGACAGTTTTGATCTCTTGTGCTGTGTACATTATGTTTCTAGTGCCTTTTAAGTCTATGGTTTCCTGTTGTGGTTTTTTTCTATTCTGGCACAGAAATATTTTCCTTTGAAAAACAGTTCCCTGCAGATTCTACTAAATGCAGAGGCTTCTAATTTGGCCAGAAGCTGTTTTGTAATTAGGTGTTGGAAAATCCTGAATGCTGAAGTGGGTCATATTTTAATCATGTAGGGGTTTGTGGTATTGGTGTTGCTGGGTGTGTGTGTGGGGGGGGTTGTTTTGTTTTGGTTTGTTTTGTTTTTTGCTATAGTAGATGGATCTTCAGAAACCCCAGTTCTCTTGTCATAGAAAGAAATTGTAGTTTTTCTTACTGATAACTGCATTTAAAGATTTTTTTCCAGTGCGCTCAGCATAATTTTCAGTTACAATAGCCGCACCAAACAGTATTTTTGCATGTCTGCTTCTGTACTGTTTTGAGAAAAAAATATTCTTTGGAAACGTTTTTATTTGACACCTATTTTCTGTTTAAAATATTAATGACTTTTGTCTAATTGTATCCTTGATCAGTAGAACTTTAGGAATAATTCTCTAGAGTTATAGTTGAGGAAATGCTGTGCTTGATTCAGCATTGTGTAGCTGTTGAGCTGTATAAGCAGAGGAGATGAGCTTTGATATTTTCTAGTGTGACAAATAATGAGGTGACAGAAATTCTTCTGCATGTTTTCCATGTAAATAGATCACCTAAGGGTTAGAATTTTCAGATAAGACGTATCAATGCAACTTTGTCCGTTTTCAACCTCTGAAATGCCAGGTAGCCTCTCCCATGGTAATGCAAGTGTTTCTCATGCAATTCCTAGGCAACCTTGGCTTTTTATCATCTTATTTAAGCCTTTGCACAGTTACAAGGGTGGCTTCTAGCTACGTGTGCTGCATATTTAGATGTCTTTCTCTTGGAAGTTCAGTTTATAACTTTTTGACATAATTGTAAACCTTAGTATATTAAAAGCAAGAACGGACATGTGAAAAGGGACATGACATAGCTTTTTCAAATGACAGCAATTATCCAAAAATCATCCAAAATTGGGACCTCGGGAAGCACTTCCTGCCCATTCCTGCCCAGTAACAGAACCCAAATCCTGTTACAGTAGTGATCTTCCATGTGCTCTCGTGCAGGAGGATGAGAGCTTGCAGCAACCTCCAGTCATCTCAACTGCAGACCTAGTAAAGCTGATTGCTGTAAATGTAGCTACTGTCTAACTGAGCGTAACTGAGTATTGGACATGTGCAGTTACGGGGCGGAATTCACCACACCTTCCTCCAGAGTCCTCAAATCCCAGCTCTGCTTTCTGGTGTTACACAGAGGTGGTCGTTAGTTCTGGAGCGCCCTCGTTAGAGGGGCAGTAGTCAGCAAGGCTCTGACTCCTTCCCTGCTGCTGTAAAAGTGACCTCTCGGCCTCAGCTTTTCTGGTCTCTGCTCATGTGCACTGTTATTTGCATCCTTTGAGTGTAAGGTCCCAGAAGAGGCAGTGAAAAGATTATTTCAAAACAGCAACAGCTCCCAGATTGAGGAAATAACAATCGTGCCCTCTCGTGCGTGGTAATGCCTGTAGAGTTGCCAGGTTCTCAGCACTTTCCTGTGAACTCGGTGGAATGGAGGCCTGGTACATTCTGCACCACCAGCACAAGGGAAAAAATCCTAACTTGTTTGGAGGCTGCTTAAAGAGTTCAAATTGATGTGTCAGCCTTGAAAATTGTACAGAAAGGCATACTGTGAAGAAAATGCAATTCAGTTTCAGGCTGAATATGCACTGTTACGGTTTCCTTTGGCCTTGTTGTACCTTTCAATCAAAACAAAAAAAGTCCTATAAAACTGCCCACTAACCTTCTGGTCGCTAATTGGAGACAAAGTGCTTCAGGCTCTTATAAGCCATCTTTGAGACGCTTCAGAAAGGAGAGTGTCATGTTTGGATAACTGGAAAGCAATCGTGCATCTCTGCTGTTTCTTTGCCCTGGCGTTGGCAGGTGGCTGCTGTCTTACAAAGTGAGATGCTATCATCTGAAAACGGGTCGGAAAGGTAAAGATGCCAATTCCTGTCACCTAAGAGCAGCGTGTCTCAGAAAACAATGCCCTCTTAAAAAGCGACTTTCTTCTGGAAGTTGGTGTCCCATTGGCAAATGTTAGTTGTTCTAATGAAGATGAATGCATAGAAATCGTAGCTAAATAGAGGTGTTATTTAAATAGTGAAATTACAGCTTTCCACAAGAGGCATTTCATTTTAACTACCATAATCGCGTAGGTTGATTTTTAACTGAAAGAGAAAAAGAAATATGATACAAGCTTAGCAATCTGTACCTACTTAATTTTTGTACTACTGGGGATCTTTCTGCCGTGGTGGAATTCCAGCCTGAAGTCTAGAACAGTGAGTCTTCTGCCAAATGTTTAGTATAAGCGTTTTCTATTCTTCTTTATATCTTAGTCGTTAATTAAAGTCCTTTAAGTCCTTTAATAAAAGTCCTTTAATGAGTTTTTGCAATAGGAGCTGGTGTTTTTCCCCTTACTTGGTTTCCAAGGCTTAATTGCTTAACAGAGAGCTTAATTGCTGTTAATTCTGTCAAAGGAAGATGTGGGAGGAATAAGGGCCAATGAAGGAGATCTGCTAATTTAAGTCACGTATTTGAAGTGGAGGTTCCTGCAATACTGCAAGTCAACTGCTTGCTTATTGACAGAACGAGGTACACAGGCTGCAGCCAAGTCACCAGAGCTTCCTGGGGAGAAAGAAACTCATCAAATCCTTATTCCTTTCCAGACTGCCAAGTTAATGGATATGCATATATATGCATTCATTATTTTTAAAGTTGTAGTTTAGTTAAAGTATTATATCAGATCCTAATGCTATGATTTTGAATTTTTTTTGAGAAAGCTCTATTCAAGAATGAGAACGTATTTTGGAAATTGGGTTTTTGTAGAACTGGATTAGAAGAAAGCTTCTAAGCACTTCAACATTAACTTACAGAAAATAAATGATTGCCTTAGAAGTTTGCATAGATAAACAGTATATGAAATCGCAATGCATTTCAGTCAGGTGACTCTTAAGAAACGTGGTATTTGAGAAGTATCCTCTAGGCATCAACACTTATACCTCATTTTTTAAAAGTCTAATTTAAAATTAACTTCCAAGATTAGTTTTCTCTGTAGACTTTAAAAGTACTCATCCTTAAAGAGTAAATGCTATAATTTTTAAAATGTATTTAAAGAAAAAAGGAAATCTGTTTAGGGCAAAAGGGAAATTAGAATAATCAAACTTCAGTTTATCCGTTTTCTCCTTATTTTCTAGTTACTGAGTCGGAAGGATAAAGCTACATTCGAGAAGCTGGAGTATGTTATGAGTAAAGAAGATAATTATAAAAGGCTTAGAGACTATATCAGCAGCTTGAAGATGACTCCATGTATTCCTTATTTAGGTAAGCTGAACTGTCTCTTGGGAGAGCATTGAGGAAAAACACGTATCACCAGTGACTGCAAAACCTGAAACACCCTATTTCGAGCAATACACAAAGCTTCTTCAGTACGCGAGCAAGTATCTGCTTGGCATTCTGTATATGGCAAGCAAAAGCTTCCCTGGCTTCAGAAAGAAATTTCTATTAAAGCTCCCAAACAATTCAGGTTTTACATACAGTATCAATTTTCTAGGAAATGAATTTCCCTTATGTTGTGCAGATACAGTGCTTGACTTCTGGAGAAGTACTTAAGCTGTAAGTTAATCCTGGTAGGGCTCCTCAAGAACTAAACACTTGAATGTCACAGTAGTGATGGCCTTTGAATAATGCAAAACTATAAATCTGCAACCAATGAGATATACATAGATCCTAGCAGCTACATACAATTAAATGTTTGCCTGTTTTTTTTTTCACGTTCAAGATAACCTCCTTTGGCCGCTAAAACTCAATTCTAGTCTGTTCCCAAAACCTCATTTTGAGGGGATGCTGCTTGTGATTTGTATGTTTTTTCCTTTCTTTAGCTGAACTATTGATTTTATTTAACCTGACAGTAGTCTTTACACTGAGATCCTTGTGCCTGTCAGTATTTTTTTGATTGCTTCATATGTTGATCGTTTATTGACCTTCATTGACATTACAATCTGGAATGATACCCCTAAAATATAGAAAACTGTTTTGAGAAGTTGTTTGAAGTTCTGTGTTCCTTGTGCTCAGTTAGAACAATACCTTGTTGTGGTGAACCAGTAGCAACCGAAGCCCCAAGCGTCCCTGGGAAGCTCCCTTGCTTCCTTCTGGTGTCATTCCCTGTTCTAGGAAGTAGCTTGACACTGTCCTTTGCACTTCGAGTCTTCTTATATTTAATGGTGTGCAGTCGAATCTTTATGCTTTGTTTATTTTTAAATTTCCTTCCTTTTTGTGCACGTGTGTGTGTGTGTATGCATGTGTATGGATATGTAAAAGCAAAAAGGTTGGAAAACAAATTTAAGTCCTACGAGTAAGAACGCTTTAAATACAGAAGTAAGTTCTTGTCAGACTTCTCCTGTAGAGTAAGATGGACCTTGACTGTTCTTTGAAGTCAAATGTGTTTTTCCCTTCTGCTTGGAGCAGGGAAGAAGGAGTTTTGTCTTTGAGCTTTGCTAAGTCCAGTTGTAGTTAAAGAATGTTTTGTTACTTGCTTTCATACAGCAGGAATTCTTCCTAATGACATGGGTATCCTCCAGCTTTTTTATTTAATTTTCTAAAGGAATAATGAATGTGACTAAGTGTAGTCCCTCTAAAACTAATTTTATAAAGTTTAAATGCATAATAAAAACAACGACATTGTCTCACAGTCTTAGTCGTGATAAATCTGGGTCCATCTTGGCAGACTGGCCCTTGAGCAAATTTTTATCATTTCACCAAAGTCTTCATCTCCAGTTAGACTTGAGCAGATTTGCAGTAAGTTTGGAGGATGCTTCAGCCTACATTGAAAAACTTTCCAGGAACATATGAGACAAATTCTGAATTTCTGAAGTGATTAGAAATTTCAACTCAAAGCATTTGAAAATAATAAGTTATTATACACAATGTGGCCCAACATCAGTAAGTGCTACTCTGACACTCCTTTAATCATAAACTGGCAACTTAAATTGAGTTCTGTCCTTTCAGAACCCAGAGTTTGCACAGCCTGAACTTACCACGGTCGCTTTGTAATAAGGTTTCCATAATTTCATCCTGCAGCTTTAAGCTGAGAGACGTTCCCTAGTTTAAATGTCAAATACATAACACTTAATTAAAAAGTTGAGTAGAAGCTAATTTTACTTGATCAGGGGGTTGTAGAAAATAAATATTTTTTACAGACTGTTTGCTTAAACTTTGTTTAGCAGAAGGTAGGTTTTTGTGGAAAAGTAAGCTCTCTTCCAAGGAGAGGAAGTCTGTAGGCTGAAGAAATGAAAACTGTCAAAAGTGCTTCTTGAAGGAATGCTTCAGAGAGTATTTTCCATCTTTTAAAATAGACCCTAGGATGTCCAAGTGAAGGACAGGCTCAGTGTTGTAGGCTTGGACTTGTGTTTCGTTTAAAGGCCTTGGAGTCCGGGGATGGCGCACGCTGCGTCACATGCTGTGGCCCCTGCTTCTGTGCGCAAGGAAGAGTTCATTTTCTAAACCTCAGGACCCTTGGCCTCTTAGTATGCCTGAACTCTCATTCAGATTTAATTGCTGCTAATTTGGAGCAGAGGAGGGATGCCTAAATGAAATGTCATGATCTTAACAGGGCTTTCTGCCATCTGAGTGAATATGAAGGGAAGAAGTACAGAGATAAGCGCCAAGTAATTTGCTGTTCTGGAGTTTACAGAATATTCAAGGTTGGAAGAGACCTCTAGAGATCATCTAGTCTAACCTTCCTGCTCAAGCAGGAAAATGGTTTATCAACCATTTTCTACAATTATCTTATATTTGGGACACTTTACCTCGGCATGTTATAGAAGTAGGATATGCAGATCTTGAGGAATTCTTTACACCAGGAAGAAATCATGTATTTTTTTTAATTCACCACTTCATTTTGAAATAATTAATTTTGAAATCTTAAACAGTGACATGATATGAGATTTCCAATGAAATAATACCAAAAAAATGTAAAGTAAATTGTTAAATAATGAATTTTCACATTAAAGAAAGAAGATGTCATTTCAAATAACGATATCTAAGGCTTGAATTGACCTGGAAAAGTATAGTCTTTGTAAGTGAGAAAACATAGAGTTTTTTTAACCTGTGTTTTTTTTTTACCGGCTTTAATGACTGTTTAGGTAATGCGTGTTGGATTAGAACGAAGGTAAATATGCATTGCCAGCACAAACACCTGCTGCCGTGAGTTACTCTAATCTGTAGGCGCTAAAAATGCCATCTCACAGTAAAAAAAGGGTTTAAAAAACAGGGGAGGGGGAAACACAACAAGAATAGCTGTAGAGCTGCGTTTTGCAGAGGCAGATTGTGCAAAACAAGGATTTAAGTGTAATACTTTATTTTTTTTCCTGAAACTCAAGCTCTTGACGTTTGTGTTTGATGGTTGGAGCACTGTGGGAGTCTGCTCCTCAGTCTATAGGTCTGATCATCATCTGAACTGCTTTCAAGGAGTAGGAGCCTCCCCGGTACTCGGCCCAAAAGATGCCGTCCTGGTACTTGCTCCTGTAGTGGCCGCCTCTGTACCACACGCCGTTGAGGTTGGAGTGGGCGCACGCGTTGTACCACCAGCCGCCCTTGTGGAAGTGGGCGCAGTTCCCTGCGGAGCGGAAGGAGACAGGTCAGCTGCAGCCTGGGAGCTGCGAGACGATGCCCGCTGCTCCCTGCGCTTCCCAGAGCCAAGTCTGAAGCGCTCGGGAGCCTGTTGTGCTCGCGCCAGTTGCTGCTTTACCTAAACCACGTGTCCTGCACTAACCATTGCCCGGCGCCGAGGTTATTAACACATGTGCCTGGTGTTCCTGTTGTGCTGCATGAAGGCTAAGGGGGCGATGCTGGCGTTCAAGGAGCTTAGGTTATGTCCCGCTCAGAAATAATTAGCTGGCCCTCCTGTCACTTAATGCAGCCCCAAGTAGCACTTGGGGCAACACAACTCTGCAAAGACTAAAGTTGAGTAATTTGGGTCAGAATATTCTTTTTAGATGATTTCCCTAGTAAGGAGGAGGGAACAAAAGGAAAGATCTGCCCCTTTTTCAGGTATTGGTGCATAACAGAGGCTGCACATGACGGAAACTCCTCTCATGTTGTTCAGGAGACTTGTTCAGTTGTGGCCATAGCGCCTGGGAATGTGCTTGGACCTCAGTCACATGCAAGTTGTAAGGACGGAATTTAAATGTAAAGTTTGCTCAAGTGCGTTTGCTTGAGGAATTTGAATAGAATTGGAATTTCTGAGCAGTGCAGGGGCTTGAAGGGGGCTGCTTCAGTGAGACTTTCATTGTTACCTGCTTAAAGCAACTTCCTATCGAATTTGTATCAGAATTTCTCTAGTTTGCATATATTTTTTTGTTAAGGGTGGTACCTCTTTGCGTGCCTGCTGCATGTACTTCCCCCTACACGTAGCTCCCTTACCTGTATACATATCCCTGTCTCTGTCCAGTGTTGTGAATTGCTTTCCGTTGTGCCATATCATGGAGTCGCCGGCGTTTCCCTGGTACGTGCCCAGGCGCAGCCGGTAGAACTCGCTCTCGGGCTCCAGGCGGAAGCTGCTGTACTCGGCATAGACCTTCTTGTTGCTCCAGTCTTCCAGCTCAATCAGTAGCCTGTAGTTGTCCTGGTTGGTAAGCATGTAAATGTTTTCCAGTCCCAGCCAGTACTCTCCATCGATGTTTCCGAATCCTTTCTGCGTGCGGGAACGTAAGAATGCAGAGCTAGTTTAGTCTGTCTTGCTCATCAAACCAATCATCAGCAGGAATGTTACAAAACAAGGGCACTTGGGTACTGCACGTCTTTTATGATGATTGCTTTGTGCATTTAAATGCTTCTGCTGCTCGTAGCTGCTCACTCCATTGATCTGCTGGCAGTACGAGGTACTGCCAGAATCGGTAAGGGCAGCAGAAGTAGCTTGGCCTATTTTGTTGAGATGTCCTCTCCTTTTGAAAGCAGAGCGAAGAGGGGAGCTAACACAGTATTTTGTGTAGTACACCAAGGGGGATCTGTGAGAATATGAGAGCAAGTAAAGGTGGTGTCCCTGTTTGAGCAGATGGTTGGACTAGATGATCTCCAGAGGTCCCTTCCAACCGTAACCATTCTGTGATGGCTTAGGGTGGAGAAGGACATACAGATTAACAAACTTGTGTTCAAACAAAATAGCTTTTTGTTGCCTTTTGTATCCCAAATGATGGTGCTTTTTACTATAAACTTAATCAGGCAACTTGTCTGTAGCCCTCGCTAGTTTCACTAGAAATCAAATTTGAAGGCATTTTTCCTGTGGGATCGTGAGCTTTCAGTATGATGACTGTGAGTGTTATTTTACACCTACTGCCTCTTATCCCTGAGGAAAACTACTTGTCTGTGTGTGGAGTTCCAGCCAAGTGGGAATTCACATCACTGAACGTAGCTATTGGGTAACCATTGGGATCTCGGGGATCGCGGGCCCCTGGCCGCTGACCGTGCGGGCGCTGCAGCTGACGCCGTGCCCTGCAGGATGGCTCTGCACAGGAGTCTCTCCCGCCCGCAGTGCAGAAACAGCCGGCCTCCCAGCTCAAGCTGCAGCTCCGCGAGCAGCTCTGGCCGACGTGGGATCGCGCTGCTGCCAAAAATGGTAGCGCTGCCTCAGTGCTGCCTTCCTGCTGGCTGCGGGCGCGATGGCAGCGCCTGCGCGCAGCAGCTCCGCAGAGAGGAGGAACGCGGGCACCGGCCACCCCTGCTGCTGCCGACACCGTCCTCGCTCGGCTTTCTGCTCCCTGCCTCGCATGTAATCGCTCCAAAGCAACGTGCAGTCACTGCCTGAGACGCTCTGCCTGCGCCGTTTGTTACCAGCAAGTCAGGAAAGCCCTATAGGCAACTTAAACATTCGCGTAACTGGGAGCATGTGAGGAGTCCCACTGAAATTCAGACTCCAGAGTTGACCTGTGCAAAGCAGAGCTGAGCTCAGAATACACACACAGGAATGTTCTACCAGCCCTGGATCTTGAGAAGGTTTCAAAGTTAATTCTAAAGGTGGAGGGGGCAGTACTTTAATTCATAGTGAAGAAGCTGAAGCTGAGGCCCTGGGTCCTGCAAAACTGTTGATGGAGCTGTTAACTTCTCTGCTGGCGGAGCCTGCCTAGGGGAGACAAGGCGGCTTCCCGAGCACTGCACTGGAGCTCTCTGTCTTAAAGAAATCACGTGCTTAATTAGGTCTTTGTAATAAGCAACCTCCCAGGCACTCTCTAGAATAACATCTCTGCACAGTCATGTTGTGCATTGCAGTACAGAGTGTTTCAGAGCACAAGTTAGTCAATGAAAGCAATGCATCTGAGTGTGGTATGCTTGCCTCTAGGGGAATGCAGTTCTTGCTGATGGTATCTCCAAATTGTTGGACTTAAGCAACTAACCCTTTATTTCCAACACTTCAGCATTTATGATGCAGTTTACACATTTGCAGTGACCGACTGCTCTGGAAATATTATTTCCGCCCCCGCCCCCCTCCTTGAGTGCAGTTGATAATTGCAGCCACACCGAAACAGCTGGTTTTCTGAATCCCCAGATTTACCTTGTAACTGTCCCAGTTCCTGAAAAAGTTGACAGATCCGTCTGTTCTCTTCTGAATAACTGCCCATCCTCCAGGGTCCAAGCTGTTCTCGCACCATAACTGCATCGGTTCATTGCTATTTTCAGGTTTGATCATATAAATCCCGCTGTTGGAGTACCCAGCTTCTTTGGCTTGTTGACAGTCTTTGAATGGACCTTTTTGAAAAGAGGCACTGTGAGCTGTCAGGCTTGGCTACGCGGTGAAGTATGTTCTGTGTGCTCTGTGTGAAGTATGTTCTGTGTGTTCCTCAAAGTGGTGAGCAGTGTTCTGCGTGTCAGTGAAACCCTTGGAGGTAATGGGAAGCCAATAGCAAGGTTAAAACCACTGTGGAAAACAATATAAAGTTGTGTTCTTAGATTAATTGCACACATATACAGTAAAAATTTATCTGTATCTCTTCCATGTATCAGCTGGGGTTTTAACTTCATCCACCCTGTCAAAGGTGCATGCTCTGACTTTTGATATTCAAAAGATGCCTTGCAAATCTCATTGGCTTTTCATCTGTACGGCTTAAAAAGGTTTCATGTGAAAGTGCTTCATTATCCTGCTGCATTCTTTTAAAATTAGCTGAAGTTTAAAGTGATAATTAAAAAATGAAGGGGGAAAAAAGGCCCAGTCCTCCACACATCTGAATACACATACAGTTTTCTGTGTATGTTCACAGTTTCTCACAGTTTCTCTAGGAAATATTTACTGTCAAATCTATAGATGAGAGAATTTAGTGAAATAAGAAGTGATAGTGAAATACATCACTTAATACAAGTGATAAATAGTGAAATATAAGTGATTAAGTGATAAATAGTGAAAATGGTGAAATATATCACTGACCACGTCAGTGGGGCCTACCTCACTGGTAGTGAGGTAGTGACTCACCAGAGTCGCTGCCTCGGTGGTGGCCAGTGCCAGGACAAGGGGCAATGGGGACAAGCTGAACCCCAGGCAGCTCCATCTGCGTGTGGGGAAGAACTTGCTTGGTGTGAGGGTGCCCGAGCCCTGGCCCAGGCTGCCCAGGGAGGCTGGGGAGCCTCCTTCTCTGGAGATCTCCCCAACCCGCCTGGATGTGACCGGGTGCCCCCTGCTCTGGCTGTCCCTGCTGGAGCAGGGCGTTGGACTGGATCATCTCTAGGGTCCATTCCAACCTCAATGATTCTGTGATTCTCTGAAGGTATGTGCTGCTTAAGATATTTGTGCTGCTTAATTTCTTTGCCTTCAGGCACTCCCCCATTTCCCGGGTCAGCTGGTTAACCACATATAGGAATTTTTGTAAGTTTTATGCACTGTCCTGGTGTGGCACTTGGAGGAACTGTGGAGAAGGTTCTTGTGATCAGCTCCTAGGGCCCTCTTGCCTCCTTGCAGGAAGGACAATCCTGTTTTAGACCATGGGAACCCTGGCTGTGCCAATTGCCTCTGTTTACACAAGAGCATCTCGTCCCTCTTTAAGAAACACGTGACTTATGCACTTCTCAGATCTTTGCTTTGCTCTGTCAGCATTTCAAATTGCTGTTTTTTCCTACCTTTTGTGACAGATTTTACACCAGCTGCCATGACTTCTGCTGATTTTAAGCAGCATCATAGAGCAGTTATTTAGTAATGAAGAGCAGGGTTTGTTCTAATGACTTATTAGAGAGGGATGCCCTGAGTATATTTGAAAATAAAACTACAGATCTGAAAGTCATTACCTAGTATCTAACATATTTAAAGGCTGATTTTTCTCAAACTTGCTTGAAAGTGTAGAGAAAACTACACAGGCAAAGCTGATGTGCAAAGATCATAATCACAGCTGTGATTCTTCCTTTAATTAAAGTAGGGCTCAAGCGAAAGTGGCCCTCCCCGCTCACTGAGGCTCAATGAGAATCAAATTGATAGTTGCGGAGTTTTTTGTGGTTTGAAGTGGTAGATGCCAGTTGCACTGAATCTGTGGCAAATCCTACCGAGATCTTATCTTAGAGTGAAAACCGCCGGCGCGCCGAGGGTGCCTGCGCGGGCTGGCTGTGCCGGTGCCGCGGCACTCGGCCTGACGTCCCTAAGCGCCCCATGTCCTGGGATCCACAGGCAAAATTAACCCTGGCTCCGCAGCAAAGTGATACGGGAGCTTCGCTGTGAGAGCTTTTGCCATTGCTCGCAGTGAAAATTCCCATGTTCCGGAGCTCATACGCTGAATACGTAGGTCTTAGGCTCAGTCTGGGCTTGCTTCTCTCTCATTCCCTTTTCATATACTGCCCAAAGCAATTTTGGATTTGTGTAACTAAAAACACTGTAAATATGTAAGGCAATAATGACATTAGAAGTGAAAGTAGAAAAGTGTCCCTTTTTTTTAATTTGAGTTGAATACTGAGATTGGCTCAGTATATCTGCTCTGTATTATTTCACATGCTGTCAGCTGCAAGAGGAATTGCAGCTTTGCTTCTACATGAGACCCAAGCAGTTGTTGGAGTGAGTTTTATTTTTTCTACAAGTAGTTTTTGAGACAGACAAAATTGTACTAGTCTGTTTATATAATGGACTTAGGTCACTGCTAAAACTCAACTGGCATTAAGGTCACAGGATGTAACTTGTCTGGTTTTTTTTGATTCTTAGTTTGTGCTTAAGAGAAGTTGGGATTTGTTGGGTTTCCTTATTCTGTAGTCATAAAAAAAAATACAAAGGAAATTCCTTGCTGCCTGTAGTGGTTTTAAGTTCAAGGCATAAGAACGAAAGCACTTTTGATTTTTGTTTGTGGGAACGTTGGGGTAAGTGGGCACTCTGGCTAGTGGAAAAAATAATGTATGAACTGTAATTTTGCTCTTCAAGCTGCAGTTAGGTACGTGCCTAACGTGGTGCTCTGCTCTGTGTGGTGTGTACACACGGTATTGTCAGAATTGCTGCAGAGGGGGATTCTTGGGTGGAATTTTCAAGTAGCCCCTTTTACCTGCAGTTACATTTTGCAGTATAGTGCAACTTGGGTTTGGATGCCTTGCCTGTTATTTTGGAGATTATGGTTTTCCCATTCACAGGAATGCGTTTTTCTCAACTTTGAGTAACTTCTACTTTTATGCAATTTATACAAAATCCATTTCCTAGAAAAAGATGTCCCTGTTTTCCCCCGTATCGTGCATTATACTTCCAACCTACACTCCTAAGATGCACATTGACCCTTTTGTAAACTTCTGGACATGCAAGTTTTTATAAAGTAAAATTTCTTCAGAAGCAGTAGGGGAAATTCCTTGAATTGCTGATCTAGTTTTTGTTCTGTCATACTCGAGTCTTTGACAATCCTATTGCTAATAGGGACTATTTGATTTTCCTTTGTCTTACTTCACATCTTTATAAGTAGTATCTTTTAACTGGAAATTTCATTTTTCATTCACACAGACCATTTTGCTTCTGTACTCCATTAAGGATGTTTATCGTAGTTTAAGACCTCAGAGATAACTGGGCATTGCCTTATGATTTATGATAAATTGTGTTTGTTTTTAATGATTGATGCTCTACCAGCAGCAGTAATTCTCAACCCTCATTTCCCAAAGTCACTGCAAGGAACATTTAAACTTCCAATTCAGGACTTAAATATTAATGAAGGAAACTGAATATTGTTAAAAATGCCTGCAATTTCTATGTGTTTCTTTGCAAGTATGGATACAAAATGAGAACTTTAAGCAGTGGGGAGCAAAACCTGTGGTGGATGCTGTAGAGGAAAATATTTAGTGCTGTTGCCTCACTGTATATACAAACATATATGAAGAGAAGAAAAGAAGCATTTTAAACAAAACTCGGAATTATTGTTTAGAATTTGGCTGTCTGAGCAGACATTAACGTAATGCTTTTATTTTTAGCAGTTTGCTTCTCTTGTGATGTATGACTGAAATTCTCAGGACATCTGGCATTTTAGTTGGGCTTGTGCCCGAATTTTTCGCGGATGCTGACTAAAAATAATTGCTCTTTCCATCAGCAAGTGTTTGCTTGTAGCACTGTAGAGCAGTCACAATTGCATCGTCTTCTCAGGAACTGAGATGACTTTCTGACTGTGACTAAAACAATTCGAAAAATAAAAGGCATTTGCTATGTGATCTAACAAAAGCAGGAGAAGAAATGGCTACTTGAAAAGTATAAGAAAAATACGGTAAATCTAAGGATTCAGAAAAACACGCCAGAATTCTGTCAAACTTGAGAATGCTGAATGTGTTTGGGAATTCTGTCAGGGAGCTGAGTTTGGAAAGAATCTTATTTACGGTATTAACTTTTTCTGCTAATAGCAAATTACTGAGAATGTAATTAACTCATTAAACTTCAAATTTGGGTGCATTTTCTTGTATGAGTAATTCCGTAACAGTAGATCCTTTGCTCTCTTGAGTATTTCAATCAAACAAATAACTAAAAACGAATCTCCTTGCATCAGTCATCATGGTGTTGCTGGGTTTAGGCCTCTATTTTAAAACAGTTTAGAGTAATTTTATAATTACAACAGGAATTACTTCTGACAAACATACTTGTGTAGCTGTGAATGACAGCTATTTAGAATTATTTCAGGAATTATTTCAGGTATTTAATACAAATTAGCTTCTTCTACCTTCCCGGTTGCCAAACACCATAACATGTAGCTAATAGGCATCTTTAAAGGAACAGTGCTAAGAAGACAGGTAAAACAGTGTTCATCCCCCAACTCCAACTCAGCTGTTGATGTTGTTAGCATATAAAAAAAGACTTGTGAATGAAAGTTAAATACTTTAGGTTTGTGGGGTTTTTTTTTTTTTTTTTTTGAGGATCAGCTATTTCCTCAAATCCCATACAATGATAGCGTGAGAATGAGACTCTTTGGGAAGCTTAAATCTGATGTTTTCTTTGGGGAAGTAGGGGAATAAAACAGCCGTTGGGGAGGGGTCGAGCTGTGCCTGCTGCTTGCTCGTGTTCAGTTGCACAGTCGAGACAGGTCCTCTCTGAAACGAGGAATCTCAGCTTAGGCAAGTAGCAGTGCGGGGTAACTCACCTTCGTTAATCAAAGCCAGCGGGGGGAGCCGGACGGGGCTCTTGGTGGGCGAGGTGGCTGGCTCTGGCGGCGGGCGCGCGTCCCTGTCGCGGGGGTAGCCGGGGTCGCGCTGTATCTCGTTGCCCCCCGGCAGCACGGGCGGGTAGGGCTGCCCGCTGGGGATGTGCTGCGGCACCACGCGCACGAGCGGCGGCGCGCCGGGGCCGTCGTGCCGCGAGAAGAGCCGCAGGCACTGCTCCTCCAGCTGCGAGATGGTCACCGACTGGTTGTTCACCACGTCCGTCAGCGCCGCGTACTTCACCTCCAGCTCCTTGTATCTTGTCGCTATCTTCAGCATTTCGGTGGTAACGTTGAGGACTTTGTTCTCCAGCTGGGAGAGCTCCAGGGAGTTATCGCGCTTCCGAATTATCTCGTGCAAGAGTTGCATGTAGAGTTGCGTGACCCGGGAGTTCATGTTGCGGCTTTCTTTCCTCAGCAATTTTACTTCGTTGACAATGTTTCCATCCACGTCCACCACCAGCTGCAATATGTCAATCTCCCGCTTCTGCTTGGACAGCACATCCTTCAGGTTCTCTATGTCCATTCTTGTGACTTCATCTTTTCTGTTGCCGGTACCCGGCCCGTTGGTGTTCACGCAGATGGGCCCCGTGATTTTTTGCTCTGGGACCAAGAAGGTGTAGCCACATTTCTTGCCTTCCCCTCCAGCGCCTGCCGAGCGGGGGTGTCTCCGCTGGGACGCTCTGAGCTTCGCGCGTCCCCTGCAGCGCCCGCTCGCCAGCAGCAGCAAGAGCAGCACCCCCAGAGTCCACCCGCACAGCTGCATCTTCGAGCAGGACGAGGAGGCTGTTGAGCAGAGAGAAGACAAAATGTTTAATTCAGATTAACTCATGATATGAATTGCTGTTCTGAAGGAAAGGACTCGCACCTGCGCTGTAACTAAGACTCGGCTGCCTCATCTGGCAGGATTTGCCGTGCAGGGTCCATGGGGACAAGTGCTCGGAGCCTGTTGCAGGGGCTTAGTTTCCATCAGATGACATTTCAAAGAACAGCTTTCTGTTTGGAGCAGCAAGCCCCCAAAATTTCTTGGTTATATTAGAGAATTTATAATGAAGACACTTGCAGAAACAATTGTGTGTTATGTTTTCATTATAAATTTGACTCCTTAGATATGTAGGCTATGCAAACTAAAACAAATAGCATCATCAAAAACAATTGGTTTAGGATTTTTTTTAATATTGGACTGTTGAAGATATGTAGATTTGTATGAAAACATTGAAGCATTGTTTTTGGCACAACTAATTCCATAATTTTTGTCTAGTTTCAAACATTTTGAGTAACGCTTAGGCAGTGCTCTGTTGGAAATTTATTACATTATCAATCTTTTTTGCCTGAATCATGGTAAAAAATGGGGAACAGGACTGTATGATTCTCAGCCTGACAAAGAGGAGCTCAGTTAATTGGACTTAAATCTGGACTTCAATTTCTACATGTCCTGTAAATTATTTTTCAGTATTTTATGTGTGCTGTTTTCATGTGCGGAGAAGGCAACTTCATGACATGATAGGGATGAAACTAGTGGGGGACGAGTATTCCACTCTCTCTGTTTTCAGTCTGCAACAGCTTCTTAGTATCCCCAGTATAACCTATGTGGGTAACCTATGCATCTCTGGTAGCTGCTACTGAAGATCCAGTACTGTTGTTGAAATACGGAATGGCCGGGGGGAAAAACAGCACGTTCAGCATTTTGCTTTAACACAGAAGCTGAGCATTTCAAAACCATCAATGAGGCAAAGCAGCCCTCTGCCTATTCTGCTGCGCTCTGCTTTCTGCATTTCTTTCAATGAATTCTGTGTGTTTGCTTTGAATTTTTGTGCTTATGTGTTAGGAGGGGCCGTAGGTGCTGTGGGAAGAGGTGGCCGAGGTGCTGGGCGCGCTTCACCGACGAGCGGGCTTCGTCTGAGGAGCAGTCTGTAGCTGTGCGAGCTGTCGTGGCTTTGCAGCAAGCACGCGCTGCCCCTTCCCGTGGTCGCTTCTCCCTCCTGTTCCTGAAGAGGGCTGTTGCACACATCCTGGCATGCTGCTCTTTCATTGCGTCTGCAGAAGGAACTTGAGTGCTATTCATGTCAGCACAGAAAACCTCATAATGGTTATAGCCAAAATATGCCAGCTTGGGGGCAGGGCTTCAATGCCATTTTAAGCTGAATACCATTTCTTTTTTCTCCCTTTTTTTTTCTTTTCATACTGATCCTCATACAAAAAAAATCTGTTTCAAAAGTTACTCTTGACTTTTTACTTTAGAAAAGTGCTATTAGTAGTAAGCTACAAAATTCTCCTTAAGAGCCAAGTAAAGCTTTCGTATTTTGAACTTTCATTGAAAAACTATTATAGCGTGAGGTGTAATATCCAAAAAAAGTGGCATATTTTAGCGATCTAAACAGAAAGCTATTTGTTCCTTGTTGAAATACCGTGACTCTCAGGTCAGGATGTAAAATGTGGAGCCCCACAGCAGAGCCCAGAAAATCCGTTCTTTCCGAGCTGACAAAGGCCCCTTCTGCCCGGTGGTCTCAAAGCTCAGTGCATATCTTCATCCAGAGCATTTACTAAAGGACTGTGGTCAAATGGTAAATACTGAGTGCCCTCTGCACGGGCCTGCGCTTCCAGATGCGTGCAGGAGGAAGAGAAAGGGCCAGATTTCTTGAGCAAGAATAAATGATACCACTGAGAATAAAGATGCTTCCATGGCATCCATAAATTATGGTATCACATAATGTGCCCTCTTGTTATGCAGATTTTCATTTTCTTTTAAAGTTTGTCTTAGCAAATAAAATCAACAAAATTATCCAATAAATTCTTCCATCTTTACTCAGAATGAATATAGACCTTTTCTGTATTTTTTTTTTAAAAACTTTAAACAGTGTCTATAACATTGGAGCTTTTACTGGAGTGGAGACAGTCCTACAACAGGAGAAGTGTTCATGTAGATTTTTTGATGATACAGTATCTGTGCACTCTATGAATTACTTTGCCCTATATAAGTAAGTCTTTTATCCAGCACAAGTCACTCTGCTATTGATAAAATAACAGTATTACTTACATTTGTATTGAGTAGGAACCAGGAATAATAGATTTGGTTTTCTTGGGCAGGTGTATAATGTACTGAGCCACAGTATTTTACTCCTGATATTAACAGGAATCTTCTGATATTAATGGGAATGCCATTCATTTTAGAAAATGAAATCTAAAAATGTTCAAGCGCTTTTGAAGTCTCTATTGAAAGTGTGTCACTCTTAAGCTCAAAGTCTTGTAAAGGTTGCCACACTAAGTGTTCTGGAAATACAGGAAAACGTCTTCACATGTCTCAGTTTTTTGGAACTCATTATGTTTATGTGCAGCATTTTAACAAGCATTACAACAGACTGGGGTGTTTGCATTTAGAGATGTGTTACTTAAGTGCCCCAGAATTCCCTATGAGACAGGTATGGAAGACACTGAGCAGTGGCAGTTTGCTGCAAGAAGTTTGCCTCGTTCACTGGTGTATAAATTTTAAAAATTGACCAAATAGAGTATGTTATGAGCAACAAATTAAAATTTGTAAAGCAGGACTGAAAATAGTAGTGCAAAAGTGCAAATTAAGCTGCAGAATTTCTATGCTGAGACCAAAATTCATGTGAAACTTTCTCTCATGCTTCAGATTTTTCCTTGGGGAACAGCTTAACATTAATAATCTATTGTTTATTTAAGATTATCACTTCAAAATTTGAACTTGTATTAGAAGGCAGCAAAGTAGAAAGAGTTAAATTCTTGCACAGAGACTTCTTTAGTGTTATTGACTCAGCTGTTTTTTTTGGGGAGAGATTTAGGAATTGTTCTAAGTAGTGCTAAGCAAAAGCTTGGCTAGCAGTGACTAAGTAGAGCCTGGTGGCTAAAGCACAGAGGAGATTTCAAATGATATTTTTCTTTTTTTTCCCTATTTAGTTAGGTTATTCCCTATAATATGGAAACAAGCACAAAAGGATAGGGTTTTTGTTTTCGTTTCAGACACTTAAGAGCTTGGAAAGTATCAGTTTTCCGTCTGTTAAGACTGCCTTGTTGCTTTTTTATTTGATAACTACTTAATTTTAATTAAGCTTGCTTACTTATAACAGTTTGTCTCTCTTTCCTTACTGTCACCCTTTGTTTCTCTTTTTTTTTGCCAGAGTTTTGTGAGAGTTTAATACAAATATGTAACTCCCATTGTTTTCAATTTATTTACTGTGGCGTTCTTTCAAAGATGAAGGGCAAACAGCAGAAAAGTGCTTTAACTTTGGGGGGTTTTCTCTCTGTGCTTTTGTATTGTGGCTTTTTAAAAGCTTTGTGTCTTTTTGGCTCACAACTGGATCCCTCCCTCTCGCTGCTGCCCCCAAAGCACTGTAACAAAAACTTTATGTTCCACTTAGCACACTGATGCTTTGTATGCTGCACTTCGTGTTTATGAAGCACGTTGATTGTTTGGCTTGTAAACCACTTCAACCCAAAATTCGCTGTGAACACTCATTGTTTTAGCTTTCGTCTTTATGAATCTGCTTAGGAACACGCTGCTGCTGAATGAAGGTGCCGTTCACTTCCCTCACATTCCCCAAAGTGCTGAATGAAGGGGTTAGTGTCTGTTTCAATAGTTTGGAGAGGGCTGAATTATTTTCTGACCCAGTGTGTGATTATAGGTTGGTTTTTCCAAAGTAGCTCAAGGCTGCTTTTGAAGATTTTAATCTTAGAAATCCCTATTTAAAAAAAAAAAAAAACCAAAAAAAAAAAAAAAAAACTTTTACTTGCAGAGAGATACACCAATTAACTGCTTAAAGAGGTGCATGGATTTACTTGGGATTTTTTTAGTGGTTTTGAGGAGGTATCCGTTTTCGGGCTCTAGTAATGCTAGGTCTGTGCTCTGAGCAGAACCTTGGCGTCCCTGAAGTCGAGAGGAATTTGGAGTTTTGCTTCGTGGTGGGGTCACGATTTCCCCTTATAGTCTCTCCAGCCCCGTAACGCGCTCAGCAAAGAATCTGGCAGTGTTCATTTTCTGTGATTGTACATAGCACAAAGCCATGCGAGTTCTGCAGCTGAACAACTATGACTTGTTCGTCTTTATGAGTGAAGTGAGTTAGTTTCTGCTGCTACACCAGTCCTCTGAGGCTCTTCCCAAGTTCCCCAAGTCTAGCAAGCACCCCAAGAACAAGCCTTATATTTTTATCTGTCAAATAGCTGTGGGGCTGGGGCTGCACGCGGATGTATGCATGTGATGGAGATAAATGGATAAAGCTCGCAAGTAAGAATGACTTTAAAACTCACCAAGAAGAAACGGTCCCGCGGCTGTTTCGCTGCTGGGGCGGGTGGAAGTGCAGAGGCCAACTTGCCGCTGCGTCGTGGGCTCGCCGGCGGCGCGGGCTGCTAGTGGGCAGCCGCGGTGGCCAGCGGCTCTGCTCGCTGCCGGTCAGATGCAGGCTGCCGTGGGGCGCCGGGCTCCTCCATGTGCTGGCGGGACGCAGCGCTGCGCCCGCCCGCCGGGCTCTACCCCAGCGCGGGGGCCGCGGCGAGGCCCTGCTGCGCGCCCGGCCCGGCTTCCACACGCATCCCCGCGGCGCAGGCAGGATTTTAAGCGGCCGCAGGCGCCGCCGGCCCGCGCGCTCGGCCCGATGATGTCAGCGCAGCCGCGAGGCTCCTCCTTCGGGCCCTCTCCAGGGGCAGGAGGCGGCGGGAACAAGGCAGCCTGTGTGCCCAGTGTGGGGAGGGCGCCCGCGGCAGCGGCCTCTGCCCCGCGGCAGCGCGCCGTTCCCAGCCGAGCCTTACCCCCGTGGTGCCCGGCGATGCCTTCCGAGCTGGTACAGTGCGGGCTTCCCTCGGGAGAAAGGATCTTTCAGGCTGCTGCTTTCCCGTTTGTGTGGCTGGGAATGGAGGGGTGTACAGCAGGGAGAACGGCGCGTTTGGAGGCTCGGGGACCGCTGGGCTCAGCGTCGCCGTCGGTTCCTGACGTTTGCTCAGTAAGAACGAGCCGCGGTTGTTAAACTCCTAGCGCCGCCGACGCACGTGGAAGGCGTTAAAACCACACGGGATGGCTTTGGTAGTATCGGGCCGTTCAAGAACATCTGATCAGCGTTAGCAGTAGCCCAAGTCGCAGAGATTCCCCCCTAAAGGGAATGCAGCGCAGTGCTGTTAGCTCGGTCAGGCCTCAGCCACCGCGGGAGCACACCCGTTTTGTTTTCCTGCGTCTTTCCCGTTCCTTTACGTAGGAGACGCCCGTTACATTTGGGAGAGTTACCTTCGTGGTCTCCTAACATTAGCTTAGATTTGGTAAAAAAGAGTGAAATAATGCACTTCAGAGAACAGCCGCCTACAAAAGATCCAAAACTCACTACTCTTAAAGAATTTCTTGGGAAGGATAACCCTACAAATACGTTAATTTATAAAATAAAGTATAATATTGTAGGAGCTTATTCACAATGAATTGCAGTATAAATAGTAAGCATGATTTACTTCTCCCTATGGAAGATGGACATTTCAGTGGCCATTTGGACATTGACTAGCAAAGCTGGGCTCAAGGCAGCTTCTGCAGCTGCTTCAGATAGCACTAAAATATAAATGTGAATAATGTGTTTCTGGTTTCTTCTTCTGTTCTATAATAAACTACTAGCAGCATGCAAGATTGAAAAATGTAGTAGTATATCAGGTCATGTGTAATACCTTTCTATTCACGTTTTTTTGTGCCACCTTTCGACCACAAGTATTTTAATTTGTTTCTGTGTGTGTGCGCACACGCACATGAACGTGTTGACTTTGGAGCGATGCCCAGAGTTTCAGCTTCAAGAACCTCCGTGGCTTGGTGCTGTACAAACACAACGGCTGTTCTAGGGAGGTTGTTCTAGGGGGGTTGTATCAATTCTCTTCCACCTGTAAAGCCAAATTTCTTGTTATGACTCTGGTTATACAAGCCTTACGTCAGAAAAATATAAATAGTTTTAGAAATTCCAGATTAGTTCAATAGTGGCTTCTTGAAAATATCATTGGAGTTTGGGTATTTTAACAGTTGTGTAAGACTTTCGTATTGTGGAGGTGAAAGGAGAAGAGCTTTTCCTTTGTAATGATAAATTTGGTTGAGAGATGCTTCATTTATTTGATACAAGAAATGATCAGACTTTATGGGTAAATTTTCAAAGTGGATAAAATTCAAATCAAAATAAGCAGATTATTTACAGCAATAATATGAAAGGGCAAGGATGTTCCTCTCTTTTTTTGCATATGACCAAAGAACTGGCAAAATAGTAAGACTACAGAGGTGTGAGGGAAAGAAATAGGTAGAAGACTTGAAAAGCTAAATCTAAGCCCATGGGATTTGAGTGGTTAAATTTAATATGAACTTCAGAAGTGATACCACATTTCAGTCTAAGTTCACTTTTTGCATGGATATAATTTTCCATGTCAGCACAAACAGAGTTTTTTCTCAGTTTCTATTCCCATTGGAAGGTTAGAAATAAAGTCTTTCTTCTGTAGTTTGTTTCTCTTTTTAAAATGTGGTGAGTTGGAGTGATAGCAACTGCGTAAATTTATTAGTAATTTTGCTCCTGTATTCTAGAGTTTTGTTTATTTGTCTAGGGAATGATGAAATGGTAGACCAACAAAAGATCAGGAGTTACGAGCAGTTGCATATATGCTCGTAATTGCTTTCAGATTTAGAAGCAGTGGTGCTGCTTCTAAAGACAAAGTCTGATTGTACGTGCCTGGTAGGATGCATGGAAAGAAAGAGTCTCCACCTCCTGTTCTGTTTTGTTGTATTCAGAACAAAAGGTTGTGCTCAAAAAAATCTATATGGACTCATAATATGGCACTTCTAAATACAGCCAAGACAAGGCTAACAAAACTGAGGGTCGAATGACTCAAATCAAGTGCCTGACAGGGCTGGTGGACTTTCCTGTAAATCCAAGCATAGTTTGTACTTCTTTTTGGAAGTTAAGAGGTTCTTGGAGATCCTATCGAGATTATTTTCCAAATACCTGAACATGACACAGCGAGTCTATACTGTTACCAGTCTCTACTGTACATTAGCCAAGGAGGGCAAAAATTGCACAAAATACCTTGTTTGCTTTTGTGGTAAATGTGAGACACTAAATAAAGGAGTTTTTCATTCTGATCTTTTTCAGGTATTTATCTCTCAGACTTGACATATATTGATTCTGCATACCCATCAACCGGAAGCATTCTAGAAAGTGAGCAAAGAACAAATTTAATGAATAACATACTTCGAATTATCTCAGATTTGCAACAGTCCTGTGAATATGGTAAGCTAGCATCTTAATTTTACAGTATTAAATAGAGTAACCTTCAGAGTATTAATATTTGCCTTCTGTAGCCTTATCTGAATAAGGTCTGTCCCGTTTGTAGTGTCTGGACCACCCCTTCCACCCAAAGGTCTAAAGCATTATTCTGGCACTGTATATATGTGATATATGTCCACATCTCACGTGGAAAAGGATGGTTCTCTATAAATGCAATCTAGAAAATAATGTGTTCGCCTGTGAGTGGAACAGCCATAATGGATGTCATCTCTTCTCTAGATATTCCTCTGTTGCCTCATGTCCAAAAGTATCTGAACTCAGTTCAGTACATAGAAGAGCTGCAGAAGTTTGTAGAAGATGACAATTACAAGTAAGTATGGAATGCTGCAACCCTCTGTAATTCTTTAGCAGAAGTGGCTGTTATAACAACAAAGCTCATCGCTTTGTTTCTCCTTGCAGCAAGAGCTTGTGTGTCTCAGATTATTTTAGCAAGTGATCCGGGCGCGGGAGGCGCTCAGGGTGCCCTGGCCTGGGCCCGCGCGCTCCGGGCGCCGCTCGCCTTCCGGCCGCCAGTGCTGCTCAGTGGGCTGTGTGGGAAGCTGCCTCCCAACGGGGCGAGGGAGCACCCTGAAGGAGCCGATTGTCTTCGTGAAAACAATAACGTGTAAAGGGCAGCCTGCCCCTCGGTAGCCCTAGGGTAGCCCTAATGAGAATTGAGAGATGGCAGCAAATAGGCACCCTTCAGTTTGTGTCAAAGGGCACTTAACAAGGGCTCGAGCTGCCGGCTTCTCAACCAGGCTCAGTCTTCCAGGGCGGTTGGTTGTCCTCTGGAGGAGCGTTTGTCCCTAGTGTGTAGGCACTGAGCGTTAGCTTTCCACTCCAGCGTTCAGTAGCCTGCTTTTAAAAGTACTCTGTACTTAACTGGGAATAAAGCTGCATGGTTAAGTATTACAAGCAAAAAATGCTGCTGAACCGCAGTGTCTGGTTCTCCATAGGACATAGTCTTCATGAATCCTATAAACTCCTTTCCCCCTTCACTAGCTGGGAATCAACAGCAGTGGGAGTTGCGTTGCTGAGGAGCCACCTCGCCCTGCACAGCCCCGGTTCTGAGCTGCAAATGCATGTTACAGTTGTGTGTAACACAGTGGCAGGATTACTGTTGAAGTCTGATTTTGCACTTATGAGTAATGCATCCCCTAGACTGAGATATGTATTTTGAAAAAACATTGTTACCACAAGAAAACAGATTTTTGTCTTGTATTTATGAAAATCCTGAAGTTGGAAAAACATCACTATGGCTTCAATTTCTGTTTTGTCTTGCTCAAGGATCTTATTTAAGAAAATTAAACTTTAAAGCTGTCATGAATCTGCACACAATTGTCTCCAAATGAGAGAGGAGCTGTCAGATTTTAAGCTTTTTCTTCTAGAAGTTAAAGAGGTGCTTTAACCAGCACTTGCTGGTTTAAAAGCTTTTACAAAGTTCTGCAGACGGAGCTAGGAGGACACACTTGGTCTCTTTTGGAGGTACCCAGTGAGCAGTCCACTCCCTTTGCGACACCAGTGGAGGTAGCATTGAAAAGTGCTGAACTATTTTAGAAAAAGCTTAAGTCATTAAGTAAAGCATAAATCACCAGTCGAGGTGATTGTATTTTCCAAAACCCCAAAGAAGGATTTTGTTTTCCTAGAATAGTAATGGCTTGCCCATGCTTTTATTACCTTGCAGAAAAGTTCACAATAAAAGCTACGGTGTGTAAATATTTTTGCCAAGGTGGTGGACAGTTTGGGTGCAAGTTTTGCAAGTTTTGTGCTATCTTCATAACGTTTCTTGCACTTACAGAAACAGGAAGCCTTCAATTGTAAATTAAAAAAAAACATTAAAAATGTAAAAACGTACTTTTGTATACATTTTCACATAAAGTAATTTTATTGCTTCTTCAATGCAGGCTTTCCTTAAAGATAGAACCAGGGACCAGCACCCCACATTCTGCTGCTTCCAGAGAAGATTTAGTAGGTAAATGCTTAATAACTGTGAGAACTTTAGCTGGTCAAATACTTTATTTTTGAGTTTTGGACAGAGAAGATATTTGCTTGAGGATAGTGAAGAAGTGGGAAGTGTAGGCACTATATATTGATAATAAAAATTCTGAAGCTGATCTCTAAGATCTTTTCAAGGAATTAGATCAGCTTTTCAGGTTCCTGTGTTATATTGTTGCACTAGCTTGGCAGCATCTTTTAGAGAGAAGAGTTATTAAATACTCCAGTTTGTCTGTCTAGGCAAAACAGCTTCATCTAAACCTTGGAAAAATAACCTCCCAAGGAGGTACACTATTTTTGATCTATATATGAAGTGGTTGAACATAGATGTTTCAAAATGTAAAGATCAATAGGATGTGGTTACTATCAATGTGACTACTGCAGTCAATTGGAGGATATTTTATCCTGTGCACAAGGAACCAAATACTCTTTTTTTTTCTAAATATCATTATGCTTAGAGCTGGGAGTTTTAAGGTTTTATGGTATCTCTTGCAATTTAAGAAGTTATCTTTGCAGCTTGCCCAGTTTTCTTAGAAGTAGCTCAGATTTTACTGCCTCATGGTCTTAGAATTGCTCTCTGTTTTGTTCCCAGGCCCTGAAGTCGGAGCCTCTCCACAAAGCGGACGGAAAAATGTTGCAGCTGAAGCAGCCTTGTTGCCACCAACACCCCCATCACCCAGGAACTTGATACCCCATGGGCATAGGAAGTGTCATAGTCTGGGATACAAGTCAGCATTTTATTTAATCTGAAAATCTTAATTTTTGTGATGCAAATTATGTATCATCTTGCTATATAAAAGCATTGCCTTGAATAGTATTGTTTATATACAGTATTTCACATAAAGTCCAGTTTATGGGAAGATATCAAGCTCAGAATATAACGGGAGCTTTCCAAATGAAGACAAATAGTCAAAGTAGTCTGTGTGGCTATTGTGACAACAAGTGTAGGTCACAAAACACCAGATGTTCTGGGTTCATGTTTCTAGTATGAGCTGTGGTTTCTTATCTTTTATAAAGCTGTATTTTATAAAGCTTTTTATAAAAAGATGTCTTTTTATAAAGTCTTTTTTTAAATAAAATAGATATAATATATAAATATTGATATATTTATATTCATTTATTAATATAATTATAATAAATTTTTGACATTTAATATTTAAATATTCTTAATATTTATTTAATATGTTTATTTAATGTTATATGATTTATAAAGTCTTTTTTTATAAAAGCTGTCTATTTATAAGGTCTTTTATAAAGCTGCTCTTCCTAAAATTTTTCCCGTTGATCTCTTCAATTCAGGATTTAAGAAAAAGCTGCCTCCTTCACATAATTCATGAGTGCTGCTGATGTGATGCGGTTACCTAAGGGGCAGTTTCTTTGTTTCTATTTTTACTGTTCATTTGATAAAACTATTAATAGCTAAATTCCAGTGTAACTCATTCAAAGTAAAACAGTCATTTTGCTGGCATTGTCATAGTGATAGTAGTAGATGTAGGTTATTACATGAGTTTGTAAAATAATTTTTTTAGTTCCTTTTTCTAACTAGATACAATTCTAATATTTTGATCATCATCTCATCAGCTCTTTTGTTGCTTTTCCAAAATGCAAGATTGTAGATGTTTTGTAATTCAACTCTTACCATTTTATAAACAGGAATGAAAGTGTAAAGTTCAATCATGTCAGCGTTAAGGCAGGTGTAACCAAAAAATCATTTTAAGTCCTGGTTTTCTCCTTGCTCCCAGAGTGCTGTCCAGTTTTGATATTAACAGCTCACAGGAAATATGGTTTGTACACCATTGCTTATGGTGCAAACCGTGTTTTTGTTTGGGGTTTAGAACATGCTACACGGTATCTTTCAGGATGTTAAAGCATCGACTTTTGAAAGGCATCAAAAATAACACGATTTTATCCTTACTTGTTTCTAGTTTCATACACAAAATGAATACGGCCGAATTTAAAAGTGCAACATTCCCCAATGCAGGACCAAGGCACCTACTGGATGACAGTGTCATGGAACCTCATGCCCCTTCCAGAGGGCAGGCCGAAAGCTCCACCCTCTCCAGTGGGATTTCAATAGGTAGGAACTGTAAATATAATTGGGCAGCAAATGAGTTTTAAATTGAGATATTTATACTTTATATGTGTACATATATCAATGATAGTGTTCAAAAATACCATTTTAGAGCAAACTTGGGGGATATAGGTATGAAAAGGCAAGGGTGGGCTCAGAGCTGTTCTAAAGGCAGAGCTGTTTTGGTTCTTTTTGATCCTTTCTTACTGAAGGATCTGATACAGTCTGGCTTAAAATCACATGTCAAATAACGAGTCTTGTAGGAAGACCTTGCAGGATGATCGTATATAGTGCTGTATCTTTGTGATGCTTTCTAAATCGTGAGAGCTTGCCAATTTTTTGTTTTGTTTGTGTTTGTCAGCCTCGTGTCAGACTTGCCTTTGCTGTTAACAGGTAGTTAAGAACATTAATTTACTTTAGTGAAATCATTTACAGGCATGTTTACAAAGATTCCTCTTTTTGTTTTCCACTGATGGACACGCTGGGTTCGGATACATGTGGACAAAGGCACTTCCATTTGCATTTCTTCAGTTAGTTCTGTGGCAAATACTCTTAATCTCTGATAGAGATGAGTTACAGCATCACTAGACTTGAGATTGATGACTGGATGAAATTATCTTCTATATATTAGCAAACGGAGTGGTTAGTTTAGCTGCCTGCTTCTCCTTGCAAACCATAAGCATGTATATGAGTGATGGATATGTTATGGTACTAAGTTTGATCCATTCTCACAGTAGTGCACAGCATACTGCTTTTTTTCTGACAGTATAATTTATCTTTTAAATACTAAGAATACACTAAAATTTGCATTGAATGATCCCTAAAGAAACATCAATGCAGAAACTCTTTAGGATATGGGATCACTTGAAAATAGGCTCCTGTAACAAGGTAACCATAGTCAAATATCCCTGTCAGATGCTTTTCTTAATTTCAGGGACTTGAGGCTGCTTATAGGCTTTCCACTCATGTTGCAAAAACCTGTAACTCTCAGGAAAAAAAATGTAGGATATCTGAGGATATAATTCATCCCGTTCTTAGCTGCATGACTAAAAAGACTTTGTATGACTTACAGCCTTAAACTTCACTTGATTTCTATTGGCTGCACAGAGATTTTTGAAAGCTAACTCAGATGAGTACCTCCAAAAGTGTTTCTCTTTTGTGTGGGCAATTCAGAATTCTCCCTGCTTTTAGTAAATTTGCAGTAAAAGCTCACTGAGAGCCCTCTGTTGGCTTGCCCCCAGTAAGTCTACAACTGCAAGATATTCTTGTTCCGTGGTCCCTTTGTTCTGATGGGCTCGCTGTGTGCTTCCCCTTCCTAAATCTGCACAGTTCTCTTCACACTTCTGCCAAGTGTACTTGCACATATTTGCACCTGGTTACCACCTAACATAAAAGTAGAAGAAATTAAGATGATTATTAGGTCATGATTCTGCTTAGACATTACATGAAATGTCTTTTATTCGTAAGATCTTTTTTTTAGGAGTACAGCATTTTCTAATACTTTCTAATTTGCTTATACTCTTCCTGTATTCTTTCATTGAGCTGTACCTTGTAAAGCATCTGTGCAGCAATGTCCAGCTTGCCTCTGTTAGTATCTACCGGCATTTTCACCTTTCCTTATGCTTTGGCTCAGTTATGGGACTGAAGTTCATTTGTGAAGCTGAGTCTGTATACAGTAATTAGTTGTTTGGACAATTCTATAGGGAAAGGGATGGTACAGAATATCTCCCTGTTTTCTTATGTTGCTGCTGTGGTGGTTGTTCTCCTCTTAACTTTGCATGCGGTATGCTAGGCAGATTATTCTGCTGAAGAGCTTTCTCTAAGATTTTGGTCTAATACCTATTAAATATTACACATGTAAAACTATGACTGCACAGGTTCAGCCTGGCATCAAGAATTTAGTTTTAGACACTCAAAAAAATGTAAAGGAAACACACATTGTTCTTAACCGTTTTGGGTGCAGATTCAATTCTGACTTCAGAGTGTTTTCTTTTATAGACTATTCAACTGTAGACTTTCAACGAGATAAATGAAGGTCTTGAGAAACTAAGGCCCTTGAGCATTTGCTTGAGTCTTTAATAGAATCAGAAAAAAATGCTGTAGATGCAATGAAAGGTATTTTAAATGCAGACAAATTAATTGAAGTCCCTTTAAGAGCAGCACATTTCCCAATCTAACTGGCATAAAAAGCTTACAAGAAAATCAGCATTTCAATGAATTGCTCTATTAAGTCACCGTCTCAAAGTACGTGAATTCTACAAAGGATTCTATTTCTCTTTTAGTAAGTGAAGTCAAGGTGTGGTGTATCCGTGTGCTTACAGGTTTTTGGCAGGCTCTGCAGCGGGGCAGGGCTCCGCACAGCCAACGTTTGTTTGATTCCTTGCCCTGTACAACTGGGCTCGGGTGGTGAGGACGCCGAGTCGTCAGCCGTCTGCTTGGGAAGATCAAAGGGCTCACAGGGTTGCATGCAAAGGGAAGGCTTTTTAATCCTGTTTAAATGTGCCGTAAATTTTTGCTATTTAACTTTCCTGCTATTGCAAACTACTTATTCATGGCAGACTAAATTCAAGAAGCATTTAACACCTTAGGCTGAAAAAGACGTATGAAAATGGATAAATTTGAGGCTCTATACAGGAGCTGTAGGATTCTCTTCCTTTCTCGATCTTTTTATTAGCCCCTTTATTAAAGGGCCTATTCTGATGTGTGATCTGGGCACCTGTTCTGACCCTTATCTCTGTCCCATCTTGACCCAGTTATGCACTTCTGGTTTATGTGACTCATGAGCTGCCAGTGCTGTTCATGTGTGGTGATTCTCGGGCAGCTTAATCTTTGAGCCCTTTGCCAGTCGTTACCCCATGGTTTTTCTGCTAGCAAGCCAAACTTGACCTCATTGAAACTTCATTGTGCAGTAGCTAAATGCGGTGGCTAATGTGTCTGTGGGGATAGCAGTGGACTCGACAGGGCAGAACGTATCTTGTAGGAGATGGGGTCTGTCCCGCTGACCTCAGCAGGGCTGTGCTCTACCAACAGATGATCTGGTCTGCTGACCGTGTTGGGGGCTTCAACGATAGAATTTTGAGTTTACTGGCTCGGTGAGCAGTTAGTGTCTAGAGCTCTGGAAACACTGTGTAGCTGGAGCCAAAAGAGGTCGGTTGCACAGCGGGGAAAGAATTTTTGGTCTGAATAGTTTTAAAACATTTTGGGTTGGTTTGTTTATGTTAACACCTGTTGAACTTTGGGGACTAGCGTGTGGATGAAGGCAGCCTGTGTTAAGCGTTCCACGGCCCCGGGCTCTGCGCAGCGGGTGGATGCTGTGCCTGGAGCCGGGGAAAGGAGCGTGCCGGCGGGGGACATTCCCACACCGCGCCGCTGGCAGCCTGGGCCGCGCTCTTTGGGTGGCTGCAGCCCAGGCTGCCGTCTGTGCTCGGCTGCACATGCCAGACACAGCTGCACAGCTAGAGACCCGCATTACAAAACCCTGCAAGCTCTCAGAAGATCTGCACCGTAATTCCTGAAAACCACTTTTGCCAGTTGACCCTGTTTCTGAGACAGGAAAAAGCCTTTCTGTTAGATAGTAGTAGAGAACAATACAATTCCAATTTCTCATCAGGCTGTACAAATGATCCTGTGAAGTGATTCTAAAGAAAACCAAGAAGACTATCTTGTGCTAAGTGGTTTGTAATGAAAAACTGAAAGTTTTATAAAAGATAACTTAGTTGAAAGGATTTAAACTACCTAGGATGTGTTATTAAGTTTACCCTGAAGACCTGCTTGAGGTTGTCAAGGGAAAAAACAAATATTGAGTACATACTTGAGAAGAATTTAAGAAGGTGATATATTTTTTAAAGTACTGAATGAATGAAACATTTCCAGTTGAGGTCCTGGTCAAATAGTGTACTTAACGTTTAAGCAGAAATTGGCTAGGCACCTAACTTCTGCTAAGTTAAAAGCAGTTTCTTTCACTTCTGTTTTGTTTTGGACGGAGGGAGGTAATGTATAATTTTTGCCTTTTTTAGGAAAGGTGGTTTTTGTCTGTGCATCAGAACTTTTGTTGTGGAAGTCTTTTGGAAATGTTTAGAACCTAAAAAATCCTATAGTTATTTATAGATATTAAAGAAACATAGGAGGCTTCAAACACTAGAAATCAACGATTTCCATGTTTCTGTTACAGACTTTGAAAAACTATAGGTTTCAAAACATCCAGCTGTGATCTGGGTAGGAGTAAATTTGTAAGGGGAATTTTGAAAAAAAAGTCAGATATTTAAAATATGTATGTGTGTATATATCATTTTTCCATAATTAAATGCTAATTTTCAAACTGAAAATATTTGCTATAAATATTACTGTAAATGTAATTTGTTATTTGCTGAGCTGACACTTGGTAGTGGCTAACAAATTACTTGCACTTGTATTAGATGATTTCATGAAGTATGAAAGGAGAAGCTCTTGTGAGCTGATGTAATAAATAAGAATCAAATTATGGAAGATATCAATATTTTAGGAATTTGTTGTGCATTTAGTCTTAAATATTCTGAAAGGCAACTGATTTAATAGAACTAGCTAGTTTGATCATGAAATAAAGAATTGTCTATTCTGATCTTTAAGGTAGCAGTGATGGTTCGGAACTTAGTGAAGAGACATCCTGGCCAGCATTTGAAAGGTAAGAAGAGCTGTCACTCAAAGCAGGCTCTTTTGTTATCTAACATTCTTTTTTTTTTTTTTTTTTAATCTTGGAATTAGGAATTAGCTTTGAATTTCTCAGTCTTGGAGAAATTATGCTTTATTTTAGTGATCTGTGAATCTTCTGTATGTAAGAATTTGAGAACCAATATTGCTTAAACCATATTAAGATCACATACTAAGTTCTGGTTTCTGGGAGGGAGCTTTTGCTCACTAGCAGTTAGCAGGGCATTCTGTACTTGGGCGCATGTTCGTGGCTCAAGTTCTTCTAAGCAGACGAGCCAGAATATCACTAAACCCTGGTCTGCTCTTATATATTTGCATATCTACTATTCACATGACCAGTGTTCTCCATTTTCACTCCCACAAGATGTTACTGCCACTCTTGCTCCCTTCATTCTTGTCACTAAGATCACCACTCGTTGTATTTTAATGTCATTAAGGTTCTGTTGGGTAAGAAGAAAGAGCATTTCATGTAAGCAGAGAAAGAAAATAGGGTCAGAAAGGAAATTCATATCTTGTGTGTGTCATCTTTGATGCAGCTTGCAGTGTTAGAAGGGATTTCTTCTTGCTCTTCTTTCCCATTTGCATTACAGAATTAGTCTAGCCCAGGTTATTTCCTGGACCCCCAGAAGTTATATGGGAAAGCCTTAGACAAGGTAATGAACTGAAGGCTTCCATACCTCAAGAAACATCGGAAACTTGAATTGTAGTAAACTTCAGACTTAAGCTTGTGTTTTTGGAGAGTAGTAGTGTTCTCCAGAATTATTTGGATGGACTCCTGAAATAAAGCAGGGATTTTTTTCATCTCTCGTATAATGAGAACTGGCTGACCTAGACTGCCCAGGAGTTGGAAGGTTTGGTCAGTGTCAAGCATAAGTCTCAAGTTTCCTTCTCCTCTAAATTCCACTTGCCTTCAGTATTTCTCTTTCCTAAGAGCCCTCTGGGAGCTCCATTTGAGGTTGCCTGTTTTCTGAGGACAGGCTCTCCCATCAGCTTCCCAGGAGAGGGATTGAATTCTTGAGAAATGTTCAAAGCATCACGTGTGAAATTCTGCAGAGACACAACACCCATCTATTGTTTGTATTTAACGATGAAATAATGTTTTGGATTTTAATAGGTAATAATGGGAAATGTGTATGTTAAGGTAAGGAGAGAGCATCCCCAGTTTTGCTCTGTACAATGCTCTACTATTCTTATCCGAGCGAAGGAAAAGCATTAGTGGTCTGATAGCAGTTAACAAAAGTGGGAACATATCATAGTGACTACTTCCTATATCATGTGAGTGGGAAGATGATGCTGCCCAGTGATTTGGCAACAGGGTTTTCGGGTAGGAAAAATCCTGTTCCCTTTGTTACCTGGGGAATCTGTGTGTGGAATATCAAATATTCCTCATTTTCCCTCCTGCTGTTTGTAACTGGAAAATGCGGAAAGGATGAGACTTGGAGTCAATGATGATTTTTTAAGAGCAAAGGAAACTGATTCTGAAACTGGAGAAAGAAAGCTTGCAGGACTGGCAGTCCCGTAGGCTGATGGAAAATAGTCAGAAGAGACTTAGGACTTAAGTCCTGGCATTTGTATCCTGTGAGAGTAGTACAGAAGGTGACACTTCCGTCCCGTTGTTTGTCATCCTGAGTGTCTCTGAATAGGATGACTTGAAATAGCTCCAGTCCAGAGCAGTGCTCCCCTTGCTACACAAAAACAAGCTGAAAGGTAAGAAAGAAATGTGTTTTGTTTGCATACAAAATATATTACCAACAGATATACTGCTCGTATTACAGTTGGGTTTTCTTATTGCTTTGTCTAAATCTTGAACGAACTAAAAATATTTCTAAGATCTCTATTATGGAGGAAATCGGGTTTATTCTGGGAAAGATTAGTAGGTGGCAATTCATACATAGCATGTTGGTAGTTCTCTGTTCGGCTAAGGAAGAATTTTTACCTGGTGAGAAATGAAAATTGTGCCTTTTGTTTAATGCTGTGATATTTGAGTGTTTTGGTTTTTTTTAACTCTTACTCTTCGGGATTTTGCTTGCCTGCTGAGTGCTATTCTGAGATGAGAAGAAAACCTGAAAATATTGCTTGCTTAGATATTCCCTGCAGAGATATACTGGTTGTCCATGCTGGAGCAGTTTTCACACTAGTACCAAACACCTCCAGTGGGACAGTTTGTTAAATTTTTAGGATGTAAGAGATGTTGCCTATAAACTTCTCCTATTCTTGTATTTAACCACCTAATTTCTATAGAATTAGAGCTGATTTTAAGTCTTTCAAGAAAATAAATTATAAAAACAAATATTTAAAAAAGGAGGCAACAGTATAACAGTGTAAATCAGCGGGTATATATTTGTATTTCTATTGACTTAAATGGAATTCTGTCAACTGGGAATGTGGTCTGGAAAACCAGCTTCGAGTGAAGCAAAGTTGCATGCAAAAGATAAGACTAGAATCCAAGCCCTGGATGTGGAAAAGTGTATGTTAAGGGCTCTGAGATATGAGATACAGCTTAAAACCTGCGTAAATTGGAGAACGAAGGTGTTGCTGCACTTACCTGGCGTTCCTCGACACTGCCGTGTTTTAAGCAGTGTCAGGCAGCGCCAAGGTCTTGATCTCCAGGCTTCCTCCAAACGGGATGCAGGGCTTTCTCACGTGAAATGCTCGTGTTTTTTCCTGTGACGTGTATGGTTTAGCGAGCTGCTGTATCATAGCAGACAGTCCTGCTTTTCGTTGCGTTCTTGGCATTACCGATTGATTGGGAGATGGAAAGCCAAAGTGTAAAGTTATTTAGCACTTGGTTTTAGTTCCTCTCAGCCCCACGTTCTGGGCCTACCCACAGAATGTGCAACCAATGTCTTTAGGCAGCAGAGCTTTTTCTCATGTTGTTCCCTTCTCATATTTTCATTTAATCTAAGCAAATGCTGACTTTGGTCTTAGAACGTATTAATCTTTCATTCCAATAAAGCACCTATAAATAGATAATAAAGAGTAGTAGGAGTACTGATAAAGAGCTCAAATAAAAGCTATCTACCTCTTCATGCGTTCTTCTGAATGTCCTCGATAAGTAGTGGCTCTGTGACACACACCCCCAAGTTGCTACTCTGTTAGGAATCGTGCTGTTTGTGTGAATAACAGTATATGTAATACATACAATTTATAATGGAATCCAACAGGAACAGGTTGTACCATTCTCTCGGTCCGGGGACAAGAGTGGCACGAAATGGCTATCGCGGCCACATGAAGGCCAGCAGGTACCAGCCCCCCTGCACACAGAGGTCACAAACCTTCCCTCTGGTGGTGGTGATTTGGTTTAATAGTGTTGGTGTCTTCTGGTGTTACCTTTCTAACTTGTGTGGCAAAATAAGGGCTGACTCCTTTCTCAAAACTGAGCTTTCCTCTTCTGTGACTTAAATACCAGATGGGCTCCTTGTGGTGCGCAAATCCAAATTGCACCTTCATTGAGAGCAAGCTGTTTTCCCCCGGCTAGCTCCACCGCGGTGTCGCTGGGTGGTGGGTGACCCCCAAGATGCCTTAATTGAGCTGGTGCTTGATCTGAGCGGGCCCAGCCCGGGCTCCTCCGCGCCGCCTCCTGCCGCTCCGGCGGCTCCTCCGCCCTGGCGGCACTGAAAACGCGGCCTCGATTTCTAGCTGCGCCCACGGGCTGCGGCCGAGGCGCAAATCAGGCTTTATTGGCAGTGCTATTTGAGACACTGTTTAACTTTTCTAGAAAACTGCTGGGTCCCCAGCACTTAAGATGCATATTCTGACTGGCATTTACTGAAATTACTCTGTGGTAAATTTTTTCTTCTAACTGGAAATATTATTTAAGCTGGTCAGCGTCGTAAGTTTAGTAAAACTAGGTTTTCATTTCACACTTTTGGGCCTTTGCTCCTAGACCCTATGCAGGCTAGAGGATTAGTAGAGCACCAGGTGTATTAAAGCACCCAAAAGCTGTGCTTCAGGTTTCTCTCCTTTATAACTGCTCCTGCCACTGTTCTTGCTTTCAGATATTTTTTAAATTGTGCATGTGTAATTGAGCTTTTGCTGCTTCTTTCATGTGTTTATGATTCCAATATTCCTAACAAAAACCACTGGCTTTTCTGTCAGAGCTCAAGGAGAGTCTTTAACACATGCAAAATATTAGGAATATGCTACAAATGTTTGCCAATTAGAATTAATTGTTCTTGAGTTTTAGTTGTCTTGAGTGTTAATTCTTTTTAGTTATAGATTACCTGCTTGGCTAATTAACTTTACAATCACCTTTGCTTGTGACTGTAAATTCCACAACAGCAACCATTGTAATAGCCAAATTGGTTTTTCCACCATTAAGTCCATTAAACAAAAAGCTAGCGCTTCTAAATTAAAACACAGATGTTTGCATTAGCTTGAAGTAATGATTCAAGAAGGACTTTAGGAGAAATACATTTTCACACTATTTTTTGCATGCTCCTTTCAGCTCTCTAGAATCTGAAGATCTGGCTGTTCATTTGTATCCAGGAGCAGTTACTATTCAAGGTGTTCTCAGGAGGAAAACTTTGTTGAAAGAAGGCAAAAAACCTACTGTAAGATTTCTGAATTTATTTTCTCATCTTCCTTTGCCCAGTTATGAAGAAAAAATGGCCCTGGTACAACCGAGCTCAGTGTCCTGACCTCCTTTGCTTTACTAATTCCTGCCACCATTTGCATTCTTTTATTTGGTGGCTTTATTCAGAATGTAAGGCTCTATAGGAGGAGGAAGTGAAGTGTGATGTGTTGCAGGGCTGCATACACTTACAAATAACTTTACAACCATTAACCATTTTATCTTCCTGAATGGCAGGTGGGTCATGACAGCTTATTAGGAGATGGTAACCCGAAGTAGTTGCATTGCAAATGTTTTTAATATTAATAGTAAATTATATGGCAGTGCATATAATAATGCAAAGATAAGTATATTCTATTTAGCTCAATGAATTGCACCATAAGGGATGCAAAAAGTAAAAGATCAGATGCAGAAAAAAATCTTTAATAAAGAAAAGCACATTTTATTTTTGCATTCCTCTGTGCTTAGTGGATTTGTGTGCCCATGTGAATCTAATTAGAAACAGCAGAAAATAAGGAGAGAATGATGACTTGGCTTGACAGTGCTGTCATTTTATTGCAGAATGATGTAAAATATTTTATAGCTCCATAATACAAAGCATATCATTTTTTTTTTTCTCTCTAGGTAGCATCTTGGACAAAATACTGGGCAGCACTGTGTGGAACTCAGCTCTTCTACTATGCTGCAAAGTCTCTGAAGGCTACAGAAAGAAAACATGTATGTAAATAGGTATCTGCCCAAATTAAAATGTTCTTGCCTGATGTAAGCACAAAGTAGTTTAAGACTTGCTTGATTTCTAGTAAGCACTACCTGCCTTCCAGTCAGTCTGCCTCTTCATGAGGAGATGGCTTAATGGAAATATCATGTACTCCTATGTGCTACTCCAGGAACATCTGCTTTGCATATGCCACGGGTCTCCAAAACTGTTGGTCTGGAGAGAAGCAGTTGGGCTTTGTGTCTGCCTGCTTTTCCAAGGTAGAAGTTGCATCTTTTGAGGATCCCCAAGTGTTGCAGTTGTCTGTTGTCACTTGAGATTAATTAAAAGCACTGATGTGGAAAGGCTGGGAAGTCACTACATATAAAGTTAAATATATCTTGATCTTATCTGTGGCAAAATCATACTCCTCTCTGCTTTTTCTGTCTCATCCTGTAGCCTGTTAACTACTACTCATTACAAAATGCTTTGTATGTTGCACAGAGCCAGCTCATCACATGATGTTGGCGTACTTCTTGTTCACTTTTCTTTATTTGAAAGAGCTAAAAATACTTTGCTTATGTGGGAAAGTAATAAAAGGATTTTCTCTAGATGTTCTAAGGATGTTTTGCTGTGCACAGTTCACTTTTTACTGTTTGGTTATAAAGGGATTGTATGTGCCACAGACTGTCTCTGCTAGAAAACTGGGTACATTTTGAGAGGGGTTTTTTTCTGAGTTCATTTTCTACTGTAACCGTGAATTCCAGGCAGTTGCACTGGCCAGTGTTTCAGTTTAATTTATGACAACTGTCACTGAAGAACATTTGCTTTGCATAAAGTTATGTAATTTTAGAAACTGAGATGTGCTCTGGAATCCTAGAATGGGGACTATCTTATTTCTTTTTGGCACAAAATGCTGTTTCCTGATTTCTAGCGTTACTGCATTCAGAGGGCAGAGCTTAGGATTTCTGATTTAGTAGACTTCTGGATATTTGAATGTTCTGTGTGTAAAGTCTGTGTGTGCTGTTGCCTTATTTTATAAAAGTTGAGTAACTTTCATTTTCCTTGAAAGTAGTTAATTAGGAAACAGTATTCTTCTACTCGGTCGCTTGAATAATACCTAGTTATTTGTAGGAAGACCTGCATAATTTCTTTAGCACATCCATCTGCCTCACCATTGTTGGCTTTGACTACTTAGGTGAAAGCTAAACTGATCCAACTTAATCCGTTCTGTCAGTTAAGGAGGACTCTGCTGGTCCTGGTCTAGGCATCCCGTCTCTAGGGTGTCTAGAAAAGTGTATGTGTTTGTATTCATTTGCCTCTGGTATCGGCAAAAAACGTACAGAAGGGCCTCCTTAAAAGAAAAGCTATTTGGAAAGAGCAGGCTCATAAGCTATTACGAGCAGAAATGTTGAAAATGCAAACTGTTAAAGTAAATTAAAAGGCACAACCCAAAGAAAACTAAAACTGACATTATGTCACCAACAGTTGGTTGCTTGTTTTCTCTGGAAACACTCAGAAATGGAAAATAATTTTTTTCCTAGTGTCAAACGTTGTGCTCCTGTTGCTGATGTGATGCCTTTAGGCTTTATGCCAAAACTCTACTTTGTTTTCTTTAAAGAACAGAATATGCATTCTGTAAATGTCTTTTGTTCATTGTTTCCTCTGTGAGGGTATGAACGATGGAAGATTTTTACCGTACTTGAACTTACTCAATCAGAAGCCTTTTCAGCACTGCAGAGGACTATCCCTGTGCACCAGGACGTGTCCTGGGCAGCCTGTTCTGGGTGACTCTGCTCGAGCCAAGGAGGTTGAACCAGATGGATCTCCAGGGGTCCATTCCTACCTCTCTAATTCTGTGATTGCGTCAGACTCGAATGTCTGTCTAACAGGGAACGCAAGGCTGGTAATTTTGTTGTTTGGGAATTGAGTGTATCACGCTTTTATATGGTGTATTTGCTTAGCCAGTTCCTTCTGAAGAACAGTTTTAATCATTTAAATGGTTTTATTCTTTCTTCAGGAATAGTAAAAATAAATGTAAAAATACAGATCTGGTATTTGATCACCTTGAAACTCTGTTAGTACAAAAGCCATCACTTTGATCTCAACAATGGAGTTGTATCCATTTAGAAGACTCTTTCAGAAATCATTTTCTGAGATTGAAAAATCATTTCCATTAACCTTTTTTTTAATCCCCCAGATCACTCTGATTTTTGTGATATCTACAACGAAGTTCCTAGTGAACTGAGACACGTTCTTAGCATCTCTAAGAATTTCTTGCAGCCTTTTGCTCTGCTGTTTATTTGTTCAAGGATATGCCAGCAGACTAATAACCTAATAAGTTTACACAGGGAGCCTAGGAGACCTTAAAATCTACTTATAAGGGGTGAATACTGAGATGAGGTGGAGCGGTTACGTTCCCAGGAAAGGGAGAATAAACAACTGTATTAAAGAGAAATGCCTGCGAAAGCAGGCTTGTTTTAAGGATTGTTACTAGAGAACTGGACTGATTTTTTTTTGACTGCTTGTAGTTACTTAAGGAAGGAAGCCTTTTTTTCTGCTTCTGTATACAAAGAATGGTACAAAGCCTGGGTCTCCAATTTGATTTCCCAAGTGTAGTGATGATTAAAAGATGATCCCAAAGTAGCTGTCAGGAAGTGTATGCTTTCAGTCAAGTCAGTAGCTCCTGGTGAATAGATGTATTTGCTCCAAAGGTGGTTATCACCCAGAGTATAGGCTAAATGCTGGAATTTAAGGAGGAAGCTATTTTGCTAGAGAAACCAGGGTTAGGGGAATAGGATGAGAGGCTTCCGTTTATTAAACAACCCGATACAATCGGTGATCAGTAAATTCTAGGTAGCCCCTGTAGCACTTCTTTTGCTTTCGCTGGCGGTTTAGATTTCCCCGGTGTCACTGCAGAGTTATTGTGCCAAAGCCCTCTTTTCTGTTCCAGAGTTTATGATGATGATTTGTCAAGGGACTTGCTTCAGTTGTCACTTGGTTGTAATTTCAGAAGGAAATTTTAATGGAAGGAGGAAAAAAAATGTGAGTGGGCAACAGTCACATGGGGTTCCCTCTATCCAAAATATTCCCAACGTCTTCTGCGGCCATGGAGAAATCTCCACGCAACTTCTTTTCCCAAGGCTTTGGTGACAATGAAGGGATTGCTGGAAACAACAAACTCAGCCTGTGCTATATAAAATTTCCTGGCTAGAGCTCTCGTGGTAAATAACTGTCTTGATTGTAGGCATGCATTTGGCTGCTCTGCTGCTATTGCTCCCGGCTGTGGAGATGGAGCACTTGGAATGTGCAGACACTGGAAGCTCTTCCAAGCTCTAGTAGCCAACTCCTTTGGAAAATTACCTCAGAAAGATCCCAGTGAAATCCAACAAAAAGAGCAAGAAATTGCCTCCCTTATAGATAGCGGAAGGCCAGTTCTTGCTGTATCTGTGGTAAAAGAAAAAGGAGCACTTCCAGTGCATAATCTGGGCATGATCCTAATCCAAAGGAGGAGGATGCTGTAGATTCCTGGATGAGATGAATTCAGCTAGCCCTGGATCAACTTCAGGGTGGGCTGGCTGGTTGTGCTCAGCAGATAAGACAACTGAATGGAAGGAGCTTTGTCTGTTTGACAGTAGTGAACAGGTTTCAGTTATTAATGTGGTAATGAAAAGTTTATCTATAATGAGTACGTGAATCCAGAGATGACGTACAGGAGAATCTCCAAAAACTGTTTTGAGGTCACTTAAGATGTTTTCTTCTGTTTAAATGGTGCCTGCAATAAGCCTCCAAAATAAAAATGTAAAGCTCTTCACCTTTAGAAAAAGTCATTAGTGAAAATAGCCATATTACATTTAGCCTAGAGAACAGTATTTTCCTTGAAAAAGGAGCATATATGAATAAAAGACTGTTCCAGGGGACCGGGATGGAAAAATCAGTGTGGCAGTATAGCATATTCTGGAGATTATTCCATGTTCTTAGATATTTCAGAAAGCAGCTGTGAGCCTTTACCAGGAGGATCCTGCTCCATTCCAAGGTTTTTTTCTACGTGTTGTGTTCAGAACTGTTCCCTTTTAGTGGAGCTGCCAGGAACTTGGTGGTCGATGCCCAGGCCCTCGGGCTGGCACGCATGGCTCGAGCCGGCGCTCGCTCGGGTTCAGACCCTGAGAGAATGACTTCATGTCAGAAAGCTGTAAAGTCCCCACGGGGATGAGGAGGAGGAGGAGGAAAGTTGTAGGTGGCAACAGCTTGGAGCGAGAAGTCTGTTCACAAATTGATTCAAAGATCTTGATTCACAGATTTATGCCTAAATGCTTTTAGGCTCCAAACAACAACAGAAAAGGTACTTATGTGACAGCTCTCACCAGAGCTGTGCGGAGTCCTGCATGTAACAGGACAGTGTCGTTCCAGCGGCCCAGCAACCCTGATTGCGATGCTGCTTCCAGCGCCTCCGGCCCCGGGCCGCGTGCCCTCGGGATGCGGCGAGCGCGTGGACGCGGCGCCGGCAGCCGGTGTCCCCCCGGCCGCCCCTTCCCGCCCCGCGCCCGGCTCCTTCCCACCGCTCGCCCCGGCAGGGGCTCTGGCAGCCCTGCGTCTGGCAGGGACAAGTTTTGGAAAAGCAAGCGCAAGCCCTAGGAGCCTCCGTAGTATTTCACATACTGTAGGTCGGCTGTCATCACATATTTGCTCGTAGCCTCTTTGGTTGTATATCATTTATTTTCATGAGACTCTAAAAATAGGAGTGCAGTTGAGGAGCTACAGTGAACCTTAAAATCTTTTTGTGACTTACATTTCCAAATCTCTTAAAAAATACCTATTCACACACTTGTAAGGCACTTTGAAGTTTGCACTTTCCTGATTATTTCTAAATGTCATCTTATTTTTGAAGGTGGTGCCTTCAGAGAGTCCATAACAAGCCCATCATATACAGTTTTACTTTGAAAGAAAAAAAAAAAAACTGAGCAATCTCCTTGTTTTATTCACTTTTCAGTCCACTTTTCAGGTGGAGCTTCCTTACGTATTTTATTGCTCACTGCAAAGCACTGATAAATGATTCTTTGAAGAAATTGTGGTTACCTTTTGGAAAGAACTAGGGTTTGGGAAGAACTGATATTATTCAGCCCTCGCTTGCTTTCTGTAAAGAAATATTGTCTGATGCAGCTTTCTAATTTATTTTTTTAAAGTGTTGTTTTCCTCTGAGATGCCTCCCAAAGGCAGTGGAATGGCTTCAAGCCACATATGCTCAGGTTTGGCAGGTTTTATGAAGAAAGGCCTTTTTCCACAGTTTTATCTACAGTGATGCCAAGGCAGCCATGCGTTTCCAAGGTCGACACACAGGTCTTCAGTGAGAACAGGCTTCCTCACTCTTGCCCTGAAGCTGTCTGTGCAAACATCCGTTCAGAGGCTCCACGTTTAGTACTTGCACCGAGGCTATGAAGATCTGGCCTAAATGTGCTGGTGGGAGCTTGGAGTGGAATGTTTCCCGCGAGCAACTGCGGCGACGCAGAGGAGGAGGCAGGCAAGGAGTGCATTTACAGAATTAAAAGGCTTGGAGAAACGGGACTTAAATTATTTTGAACATGGTTAAGATACACTGTTTTTCAAGTATTGACTCAAATTTGAAGTTTTTCTGAGCTTTAAAAGGTAACCTGTGGCACAGCTCAACTCCCAGGCAGTTCAGCTTTTTTAGATATTTAAAATGTCTAGTTAATGTATGGTGTAGATTGGCATAATTGCCATGAAATTTGCAATGGATCTTTTTTATGAGATCTATTGTCTTGTAAAGAACATTTGTTATAAACTTGTATTTCACTCACGATGCCCTCAAACTACTTGGCAGGAACAGTACCTCTTGCTGGTGCTCTCTTTTTATTAGACTTCTAACAACAAAGCAGTGTTATTTTTGAAGTGATAGATGTTCAGCTTTAGAGCTTTTAAATATAACTGTAATTAAAAAGAGGTTACTATTGCCTGTTGTTATGGAGTGCAATTCCAAAAAAGCAGGAAAACCCTTGTGATAGAGCAGTATGTACCAAGCTGATCCTTCTGGACTCGGAAGTAGGTTGACGCCCTGCAGAAGGCAGGAATGCTCAGTCCTAAAGGGGATGGGAAGAGGAGACTTGGCAGCTGGAGACCTGAGAGAGCGAATTAGGGATCGGGGAGATGACAGGACTGAGCAAGCGGTGAGAGGTGGGTTGTGACAGGCTGCTAATAGATAGAGTCTGGGAAGAAGGGAGCTTGTGGGTTGGAAATGAGTTGGATTTAATGAGCAAGGAGCCTGGAACTCGGATGAGAAGCCTGAGAAGTAGAAAATCATATTGAGCAGGTACATGAAGAGGAGCTCTCGAGAGAACCTAGTGAGGGCAAGACAGGTACTGGGCTTGGAAGAAGTGGCAAAACTTCTGTTCAAAGAACAAGTAACACCTTGAGCAGCAGGAAACCCAGGTTTTTAATATCCTGTCAATAAACGAACATGTTATGTCTTGTGAACCTGCTTATAAAATATTCCCCTTATTTGATTTCTTTTGTTTATGAACTTGTGCCTGTTAATTACACGGTTAACGTTGTGCCCAGGAGTCACGCTGTGTGTAATAACAGCCTGTTATAATCAGTAGGTGTGTTGACTTTGAGCGATTGGTGCCCAGGTTTAGTCCTTCTGTTTAACAATTGAAAGATCAGCTTGGCAACCCTCATGCTTGGTAAAATGCTTTGGGTTTTTGCTGTGATGGCCCCATGCGTGCAATAATATGGTGAGGAGATGCTTGTCACCACATGGATTGGATTGTGATACTCCTTTTTATTTGTTCAGAATTTTGTTCATTGTGGGAAAATGTGTTTTCCACTAAATCCCTATTAAATTCATAGCCTGCCTTAGTTTTATGAAGTGCTGTGCTTCTATTAAATTTAATAACATTATTCTGTGCTTATAACAGCAACATGGAGAGGAGTCACCTTTCTGAAAAGCTCTGTGCAGTGCTGTCAGTCAGGTTGAAGCTTTTTATTTGGGTTTCTCTCTGCTTGTGTTTTCAGTTCAAATCCACGCCGAGTAAGAATGTGTCGGTCGTCGGCTGGATGGTGATGATGGCAGACGACCCCGAGCATCCAGATCTCTTTTTGTTGACGGATTCTGAGAAGGGTAAGTTCCACCAGCATCCCGAGTGCAGCAAATCCCAGAGCAAGCACTTACCTTGCCGGGGGTTCAAGAGCAACTGTAACGAAATTTGGGAGGGATATTACCTATTACTACTTCATCTGGTCTCCAACATCATGTTTACGGCTAGTATGTTATGGGAACAATTATCACATAACATAGAGATTCCTTAAAGAGACTTCCTTTCTGCCTTTAACAGAGGCAGAAAGTAGAGGCCTTTCTGTCTTCTACTTACGTATTTTTTTGAAGTATTCACCTGCATTCTTTTAGACTAAGACTATTCATAGACATTTTGATATGCATGAAGCTAAAAGACAATAAAAAAAACAAGTTCTGTACAAGACTTAGTGCTCAGCCAGTCCCCAGTTCCCTCCAAATAAAAGTACAGAGTATAATATCTATTCAAATGCAGCACTCTTCACATGAAATACAGTGCAACTTGACTATTTTGCAGAGAAATCGAATGATGAAAGAGAACTGAAAAGAAAAAAAAATCCTTTATTCCAACATAGAGCTCTGTTTTCTGTTTAAACTATAAGCAAAGAAGTTTTTATTTTTCCACAGCACTTTAAACCAAGCAGAAAGACCATCAAAAGCAGCTGTGCAGGAGTAGCTTAACATTATTCATTGCTTTGTTCACTTCCACACTCCAATATAAATTTCATTTGTTTCAGAATATCTATCCTGTGGAACCGATAGATAAATTACAAGTCATACAAATTATGAGTGCTGATCTGCCTAACTTCAGCAACTGCAGTCTGAAACACTTTTGAAGTAATTGGCCCCTTTGGGTCCAAGCATGCTGTATGATACTACAGTCTGAAAATATGGGCCTGAAATATGTCAGCATGTTCAGAACTAATTTTCAGCTATTTTCAAAGGTAGATTTTTAGAATGCATTTCATGAAACTATATATAAAATAAATTGGAATAATGGCATTGAACTACACCAAATCTTAGTCATACGGTTTTGAGAAATGTTGTCTTGTATTGGCCTCTGGTCTTAGTTGAAATCCAGCATGTCTGGAGGCTGATCCCTCACGAGCCGGGGCTTCTCTTGGCCTCAGTCAAACATTTTAAGTTGCTCCTGTGCCAGTTAAGGTGTAAAGTTACAGGGACTTTTTGTTATTAAATACTTGGGGAGCATTTCAGTTTATGTTTATTTGGATATAGATAGAATTTAAGTGTAGTAGTATTTGTGTTCTTCATTTTTTCCTACCTCTCTCAGGAAATTCATATAAGTTTCAAGCTGGAAACAGAATGAACGCGATGCTGTGGTTTAAACACCTGAGTGCTGCCTGCCAAAGCAACAGACAACAGGTGAGCGCCAAGTGCTGCAGAAAAGTCAGCGGGGACAGATCTTCCCGATGCCTGCGCTATAGGGAGCTGCTTTTCGGGAACAGCAGAGTGCTTTGACCAGCCTGTGCACTGGTTTCACGTGCTCCGTGATTTGCCATAGCTTTCCTTTGTAAACAAGTCCCCAGAGCTGCTCTGGTAAGGAAGGAAGGTCATGAGCCCCTCTGGAGGGTCATGTAAAGCAATTGGGCATTTTGGGAAACGGAAGGAGTGCTCTAAAAATTTCTACCTAGTGGCGATATTGTTGTCATGGCCTCTTTAAAAAAAGGCCATCCTACAGTCATAAAAAGATTTGCTGGATCTCTTTTGCCTGCATCTGCTTGGCTGTCCTTAAAATGGATGGGGGAACAAAAGGATCTCTCCAGGTCATTTTCCATATTTTTTTTCTCATTTCTGCTTCTGAGCAAAATCTACAGAGTCAGAAGAGGTTCAGTAGCTCCTTTGAAAGCACCTGAGACACTGGCAAGGAAGTTGGGTGTTCCTCGCCGGAAAAGATGGGAATTTGCTACTAGCAAATAGTGGCAATGGAAGTGTTTGCAAGGAGGTGATGACTGCTCTCAACTGCCCCTGAGAAAAGCTTTTACTCAGTAAGGGGCTGGACAGGACCCTATAATGCAAACATGCTTAAAGCATGTGCAGCTCCTAACTTGTTCTAAAGCACCGTGGGTACCGTATGGGCTCTTGCAGTATAGTTGCACCTCATGTACCTAATTAATGCATAGGACCCCTATAGTTTCCACGAACATTATGTCATAGGTGGCTTCATAGAAGCTGAAATGTGTCTTTTTTTAGTGAATAAAAAAGATCTTTTAGGTTTTTTTCTCTATCCTGACTTGACCTCTGACCAATACTTCTCCTAGAGAAATACCTTGTGGTATTGTTGAAAATGGATTGTGTTGTTTTGATATTGAGAGAATGACTGCCCGAGAAAGATGGATGCTTTTGACAGTATAGGCACTTAATAAGTTGAATCCTATTGGAAACAATTTTAACAGCTTGAAAAGTGTTAATGGTGTCCTGGCTGACTGTTTTTTTCTCCTATAGGTGAATGGTAAAGGTAGGCAAGAAATACATCTGTCAAATGTTATCAAACAGGGCACTTAGGTTTTCTATAGGAAAAACCCGGAGAAGTGTTTATATAACTAACTCTTTTTTTTTTGGTAAATTAATCTCAAAAATACTAGAGCATATCAGTCATATGCCAGGGGAAAGGCTTGTCAGATCCTCTAAGTGCAGTCCTGCAAAGAGTAAAGAGTTATTGATACTGAAATGCAAAATATATCTAAAGATCCACATTGTAAAAGTGGTGTAGATCCATCAAAGACTCTAATTGGAATCACCTTAGGATGTAAGACAGGAAGCTTGTTCAAGCCCTCCTTCCCTGCTCTGTTGGATCAAAGGGGAGAAATGCTCATAGAAGCTAAAGACTTGGTTGGGAGAAGACTGCTGACTTGCTTCTGACCTACCCTGATTCTGTCATTTCTGACAGCGTTACCTTCGGTGCATCCATTGTTCTAACAATGAACACAAGAATTGCTCTTCTCCCCAGTATTTGGGAAATCTACCACAAAGTTAGATTTTGTATTTTATTTGAGTTTCAAAGGCTCCCTGACCTGTGGGACTTTGTAAATAGGAATCAGGGGAGAAGGTTCTGCTTGTGCAGCCTGGCACTGAGACTGATCATGTTAATGTGATTTCATCTGGGATTTACGTTTCAAATTTCACCAAAATTAACAAGATATAATCTAAGGCAATATATTGAAACCACAAACCATGCTCTAGTTTAATATCTTTGCTCTTCTTGGGCTTTCTACAGCTTTAAGTGTCCTTGAATGATTAATAACAGTTGTGTTTTCCCTTTTTCTGAGATAGGATGAATGCTACAACCTGCTTGTGAATAGTCTATGAAAATGGAATGTGAAAAGCTACTACACACAATAACATCTGCTGTTATTTATATTTTTTACTTTCAGGTTCCTGCCAACTTGATGACTTTTGAATAATGGGCTAATTCAAAGCAAAAGAGAACAATTTGAACCACCTCATGTTTGAGAATGAGGCCCTGATGAAAGATGTGCCAGCTGTATCTGTGCCAGAACAGAGCCTGTCAACTGGATCTCTGAACTCTGGAGCCCTGAACAAACCACTAATGGCTGAGGAATAAGTCCCCTGTGGGAAAAGAAAAAACAAAAATGGAGTTGCAACATGCATTGCCATGGACCATGCTTCATAACGTTCTCTGAACTGACCTGTGGAAACCACTGCCTTAAAGAGTGAAAGGAGAACCAACGAGAAACACCAAATAGTGTGTGTGAAACTTCTGGCGGTGCTGTGCTTGAGTTCAATAGATTGTAGCTAGTTTGAGTTTCTTTTAACTTTATACTAATTTTGGAAATAACTCACCTTTTTAGGTATTCTTAAGCAAACAGACTGATACTGAAGGGTGGCCTCAAAAGCTGGGTTTGAGCCAGGTAGAGGAGGTTCTTCGTGTTCTGGAGGTGCTGGTTCCGCCCTGGGGGCTCTCTTGGGCCTCCCCGGGCGCGCGCAGCCTGGAGCAGCATCCGCTTCGCTCCGCCCTGCGGGTGGGAGTTGGGACAAGCGCGGGTTTCCCGGAGCTGCAAGCCTGCCGACCTGCAGACTGGGCGGCCGCTGAGCACTTAGACACCAGATTACTCTTGTTGGTACGTTGTTCCCCAGTTCCTGGTTGAAACACAGCTCACGTGTTTTGGGTGGCTGGTGTGCGTGAGAGAGACCCGTGAAAGCAATGTTGGGTCAGAACCGAGTGTTTCCCTCCCTTTTTATTTCTATGCCCTTCACACTTCTGCACATGAAGGTTTCGTGACCTTGCTAAAGCTCACCGAGGTATTTTACTTCTCTGGGTATCTTAATTACCAGCTAGGGAACACTGTCAGTGTAAGATGTTTCATAATATCACTTAAAAGACATACATTTGAAAATGACAGAGGCACGATTTCAAGCATTCATCCTCTCCTTTTGCGATTGCTGATTTTTTATTATCTGTCTTGGTCAAAGTATATGAAATGGTGCGTTATTGATAACATGGCCTAAAGCAGACCTTATGTACAGAAGCTGTGTTGATCTTCAGGAAAGTACCTAATTGAACATGCATTAACTTAAGGAAAGAAAAGGTTTAGGACTATCAAAATTCCTTTCTTGAGAGAAATAATTCCGAAGTCACTGAAATTACTCTCCAGGAAGAACACTGGGATTGTAAAAAGGGAGCCATGCTTTTACCTGTGTGTGTTATGCCTGAGAATTTGGTCCTTGCTTTATTTGCGTTTCCTTGAAGTCAGGTGGAATTTCTTAGGTGGTTAGTCCTTATTTAATCTTCAGAAATATGATTGTTTTAAAGCGAGGAAACATTGTCCAAAATATGAATTTTATATCAGAACTTCTAGTCTGTGAAAAAGTAGTAAATGTTCCATTGACCTCGTGGATTAGTGGCCGTAAATAAGCTTGCAGACTCCTCCATGATGCTGCTTTCTGAACAGAAACAAACTATCTACCAGTCTGTGGCAGAGTTCTCTGACGGTGTAATAAAGGTTTCTAGTACTAGCGATGATTTTGAAAATGTACAGTTCATTTATTGCATCAGAATAGAAGCCTGTAAGTCCACTGGTTACTTTTTCCAGAGTCAAAATCAATCCTGTAATGGAAATGATTATTTTCTCATTTCTGGGGGAGGGAAAAAGAGGAGGATAATCCAATCTCACATGAAAGAAAGAAAAGGAACACCAAAAAAAAGACAACACACCTCTTGGACTTGGGGAAAATACTAATAGACTGGATTATATTTCCAAGAGCAGCTTTTGTGGATTGATTCTTGGTAGGGAGAAAAAAGTAGGAGGATGTTTCTGTTAGAACTCCAGCAGAATCCGTGGGGATGCGTGTCCCTTGCGATTCCTTACTGTTCTCATGGGCAAAGAATAGTCGGGTCTGATCCGAGAGCGGTGGCTTTTGGAAAGAGGTTGCTCGTGCTGGATCCCTCCCCATTCCCGTCGCCCAGGGGGACCCACGTCGGGCGCATAGAGAAGGGAACCTCTTCGTAGCCAGCCCTGTTACTGCCGTACAGTTTGCACAACTTCTGTTTGGGTCGTCTCCATTTAAAAAGAATTACTTAACCTGTGTTTCTTCTCAACAACTGTTTTTTAACAACGTGTGTACTTTTTTAAGCATTGTGGATAATAGCTCTGTGAATTTTGGCTATTTTTAAGCAAGCTGATACAGAGTCACTGCAGCATAATCATACCTGCCCTCCTGTTCGTGAAAGGAAGCCGGCAGCCGGGAGCCCCAGCCTGACATCTCTCAGCTTTGCTAAAGACAGAGCCTGATCACAAGGTGCTGTTTGTTTTCCTGTTTCTCCAGATGTTTTATGTTAGGTGTTTTGTGGCAGGAGGATGGTGGAAAAAAACAGTGCACAAGTCATCTAGCACATTGTTATTGGTACAGGCCTTCTTCTTGGGCCTCCTACTCCTCATCCTTATTTTCCCACTCTGATACGCTGTTTTTCACAGGACACATAGACTGTATTTTAAGGAGTTTCGTAAAATATTTCATTACAGTGATGAGTGAATAACAGCAACACAGAAAACATTATCAGTATTTTTTTAAATGAGTAGTGTGGTGCTTTTCTGTAGTTTACCTCCTTTAGAGCCACGACATCCTGCGGGGCGCAGAAATGCTGCGGTGTTGGTGCCTGCAGGCGATGGCCTGGACCCCCGAGGGATAAACTGCGCCGTTCAGCTTAGGAAAGAATCTCACCAGTCACAGACACTGTAAAGAAAATGATAAGGTGCTTTGTAAAAGTGATGGTGAATAAAGGTAGTGCTGGGAAACAAGGACAACGCGTCTTGTTCAGGTAAGACCACTAAGCAGGCGCTCTCCATTGACCAGTTGTCTTCAGCTTATGCTGGAGTGCGCTGCTCTCGCTCTTCATCTTGTCAGTGACTGCTGAAATAGTTCAGCCAATCTTGGACAATTCAGTTTGTGATTTTTTTTTTTGTGAAGTTGTGAAGTTGAAGGTGCCTCTGACAGTTCCCTGATTGCAGGAATATGAACAAGAATCATTCAGAACAGCTCTTCATGGCAAGTCTTCAAGTGTTAATCGCCTGCTGGCCACTTACCCCTTTTGTTAGTTGAACCAACATTGTTGGGAAACCTGAGCAAGAGAGAATGTCTGGTTTAAAAAGTGAATGCAAATGCAGTAAAAACACATTAGGCTGCACTCACTACTAGATGTTGCATACCTGCTGCTACCTTTTATCTTTCCAGCTTAGTCCTAGTTAATTATAGCTGGGTTTTTCAGATTTGGATTCGATGCTTGTATTCTTAGAAACATAATAAGGAGATTTGTGGGGGTCTTTGAGAAAAAAAAAAGTTAATTTGGTAAATAAAGGTCTCCCCAGGACTTATTTGTCAGCTCCGCGGCTTGCGCGTTCGGCGGCTTTAGCCTCTTGCTTGAAGGACGGTGCTTGTTGGGGCAATCAGCAGCTGAACTTCCCTCCCCGCATTGTGTGTATTTGAAAATGTACAGTAAAAGAAAGCACAAAAGAATACAGCGGGATTTTTAGTTCTCTTTCCTTATAGAAGCCAACTCCTTTTTTTCTAGCAATGTCAAACTCTATTTGCATTTATACATTTGGAACAATGCAGCTCTATTAATGAGACAATAACAAATGTTGAAAGGAAATGCTCTCCAGCTGAAGTCACTTTAGCAAATCCTTTCCAAATCAGATGAGAAATTGTGTAATTTTTTTTTTTCTGGCTTTGCTGGTGCTTTTTTTATTTTATTTTATTTTATTTTTGTGGCTAACTCACTAACATTAGCAATTCTAATCTTCTAGTGTCTACTCTATCTGGCTATAGTGTGCTGCCTGTTAATACGGATCAAGACACCAGGACACTAAATCACATCAGTTCAATTAATTTGCTCGTTCTCCTCACAAGGTCAAGTTTTAAGTTTTGTTATTCAAATCTACCCTTTTCTTTCCCTTTTGCTCTAAACATGGCTTGTGCATAAAGTGATTGGCTTGGGGAAGAGAGAGTTAAGAGAATCTGCACAAGCGTGCACTGAATTTGAACAGCTTAACCCCTTTCAAAACCACAGCTGTAATTTCCACACGTCTGGACGCTGAGCACGTGGTTTAAAGAGGACTTTGGTCAGTGTCTTATCAGCTGGGGACTAGTTCCTTGGTTTCGGTGCAGCTGCAGGCCCATGAGAGGCTGCGCGGGGAGCGGGGCCCTTCCCGCCAGGCCCACCGAGCATTTTCTCTCTCCCCTTTATTTCATTTAAACACTGAAGTGCATAACCCTGCGAGCAGATTTATTCCTTACCGGCTTATTGCTACTTTCCAATAAGCAGCTACAAGAGGAATGGTTTAGGGGGAGAGGAGGCTTCAGTGACTTTGTTTTGCCGTTTCTCGGTATCCCGTAAGCTCAGGAGCTTTTCCCTGCGCTCAGTCCCTGCCCTGTGCAGGGCGTGCTGAGCTTCCCTGCAGCAAGTGCTGGAGGTGGCTTTAGGAGCAGGGCTCGAAGCTTTGCGTGGAGAAATCAAGGAAAGGATACGTTATTCCTGAGCTGTAAAATGTTCCGGGTTCTTGAACGCGCCCTTACCAGAACAGCAGCCGTACTGTAGCACCCGTGAATGCAGAGGCTGGGAAGGGAAGGACAATGCGGAGCAGTGATGACATCCCTTCCAAGGATCCTCACGGCAATGGGCGGGAGTAGGTGAGGGCGGCAGGCAGGCTCATGAGCGTGGCCGCGAGCGCCGCACACCTTCCTGAAGCTGCTGGCGGTGCCGAGAAAGGGCCGGGCCCGAACGGCAGCGTCTGCAGACGGCGGCGCCGGCCGGGCCGCGCATGGCCGAGAGCGCCGTGAGGGTCCCCGGCCTTCCCTCCACGTGTGTCGTGGTGCTGCCTTCTGTTCTCGTAGCTGCTGCCCTCAAAATGCCTGTCCTGAGGGTGGTTCTTACCATGCCAGGGCTGTTCAGAGCTAGAGCTGAAAAGCAGCATCAACTCATCTATTAAATACTGAAAGAAAGAGTTCCTAGGATGCTCCGTGTGCCCAGGGGGGCATCCAAATCCATGTACTACTGAGCTCAAGTGTGGAGAGCGCTGGGAATCACGTAACTGGAATAATCCTGGTGGGACCAACCACTGCGGGCAGGGTCACGCAGGGAACACAAGCCATTTTTAATAACAGTTCCCTGCTGACGTGAGGCGTTTAGCCATGGAGCGATTGCACTATGATCTCCTCGAGTGATGTGCAGCTTGGCTGCCCTCCAGCCTGCCCTCTCCTTCAGCTTTTTTAATACTTACGTGTGTGTGTGCGTGTGTGTGCGTGTGAAAATTGTGTGTTTGCATACACTAGTTGAATTCAAGAACAAGTTTCAAAAATCTTTCCTACTAAAATAAATGCTTTAAAATATGGACCGTGTCAGAAGTGTTAATTTCTCATTTTAAAAAAATAAATAAAAAGCGTTGATATTGCAACCAAGTTCTGGGACATGGAATTTCACTCTTTCAGAAGGGTGCCTAAAAGCGGGAGGAGCTACGGGCAAAACAAATGAACTTCTGCACAGCACGGTGCTGCAAGATGCACGGAAATAAGATGAAGAGTAGATTATAACTTTTTCTTTGTTTGTAGAAATCTAAATGATTGCATGTGATACCATAAGGTAACAAAATTGTAAGCAGATGATACCCTTTTGGGGTGAACTGGGTGTCTCAAACAGGATGGAGGCATGGTTTTGTAACAGCAACTAAATCACAGAATGCTTAAGGTTGGAAGGGACCTCAGAGGTCATCTAGTCCAACCCCCTGCTCACGCAGGGTCACCCAGAGCACGGGGCACAGGGCTGTGTCCAAGCAGGTTTGAAACATCTCCAGAGAAGGAGACTCCACAACCTCTCTGGGCAGCCTGTTCCAGGGCTCTGGCACCCTCACTGTCAAAAAATGTTTCTTTAAGTTCCTGTGGAACTTTTGGTGCCTCAGCTTGTGGCCATTTCCTCTAGTCCTGTCTCTGCCCACCACTGAAAAGAGGCCGCCCCCTCCTCCTCACTGCCTCCCTTGAGGTATCTATAGACACTGATCAGGTCCCCCCTCAGCCTCCTCTTCTCCAGGCTGAACAGGCCCAGCTCTCTCAGCCTTTGCTCACAGGGCAGATGTTCCAGGCCCCTGATCATCCTCGTAGCCCTGCGCTGGACTCTCTCCAGCAGCTCCACATCCCTCTTGTCCTGGGGAGCCCAGAACTGGACACAGTCTCCAGATGTGGCCTCACCAGGGCTGAGTAGAGGGGGACGATCCCCTCTCTTGACCTGCTGGAGACGCTCTTCTTAATGCACCCCAGGATCCTGTTGACCAGAATTTCTCTAATGTTTCACGGCTGCTGTCTGGAACACAGCAGCAGCTCTCTGCAGACGCAGATACGCAGAAGCAGAGTGCGCCAGCGTGAGGACGGGCAGCTGCGCCGTCCCGGCAGCGGCCGCGCGCTCACAGCAGGGCGAGCAGCTCCCCAGCAGCGAGCGACGGAGCTGGGGGAAGCCCGGACCA